TCTAAACCGGGGGTTGGCAACCTTGCGGCTCGGAGCTGCATGCGACTCTTTAAATTTAAAGACCCCATCGTCACGTTATTTTTGTTTTATTAAGGGCCACTGTCTCGTGTTCACGTGCATTGCGGCTCTTGAAATAGTGGCCTTTTTTTGTCGAATTCGAAAAAAAAAATGTCCCGTTATTTTGGTTGCACGAGGGGGGGGGGGGTGCTGTTATTCCACTCGAGGCCCTGTTATACCACGGAGGGGGGGGGGGGGCTATTATACCACGAGTGGGCCCTGTAATATCACTATGGAGGCTTGTTATACCACTAGAGGGCCCTGTTATTCCACTAGAGGGCCCTGTTATACCACTAGAGGGCCCTGTTATACCACTAGAGGGCCCTGTTATACCACTAGAGGGCCCTATTATACCACTAGAGGGCCCTGTTATACCACTAGAGGGCCCTATTATACCACTAGAGGGCCCTGTTATACCACTAGAGGGCCCTATTATACCACTCGTTGGTGCTGTTGAACCGTAATCCACAATCTAGATTTGAAGCTTTCGTGACTGCAGGAATCCATACTCTTTGGTTCTTTCGGTAAAGTCACGTAGGTAGGTAATCCACAGTTTCGTGAAAATCATTGTAAAAATAAGCACGGAGATCATGTGTTAAATCGTAAACTAGGTTATATCGTTATGATTGCTCTGAACACGCGTTTTGGCAATGAAACGGTAGCTGTGATGCGATATTCCCAGACAAGGCGCCTCTCGTAACAGAAAGTGACCGATTTCACTTTTCAATGGCGCTTTTTGTGTTTCCGTGCTTAGTTTTATAGTGGGTTTTGCGTAAAAGTATGGTCTTATAGCTTACATGTGCTGGTAAAACAGCGTTAATCGGTACTTTTGCATCGCAATGAGCGTTTGTAGAAGCAAATGTAACGATACAAGCGCCCCCTAGTGGAAAAATAACATTTTAATTGCAACAAATCTAAAATAAGTTTTCCCGGTTTAACACGTTGGCTTTTGCGACCAATATTATCCATAAGAGGTTTTTTTTGGCACAAAACATGCAAAATCTGGCTGTCGCCTGATGATGCTAGTTGTAATTAATGACGAAACGTCGTACTCGAATTGTAAATGTTGTGTGCTTACTCTCCAATACACCGGTGTGCTGTACTAGTAACGAATTGACACGTTCTGTTTACGTGACGAACCTTACTAATTGGCTTTGTCGGGTGGTGGTGGGTTTAACGACACACATTTATATTTACGTGATCTAACCCAAAAAAACCCATATTGTGGATTTGTTTTCCTCCCATCTCGGCCCTTGTTGCCCTCCAGGTGTCTCCCCTCCATTGTGACCTCCTTGTCTGCGCCAATTTTACCTACACCAGAACAACAACAACAACCGCCATTCGCCACTAAGTGCCGGTGACGCCACCGTGGGTGCTTGTACCAGGCTATGTGCACGTTGAGGCCACGTGAAGTGTCGAACGCCCGCTGGCAGGTCACGGGGACATGGGTTGACTGAGATGGACTGGCCGATGCACCACCTGTGCCCCCCACTGTGACATAGAGAAGATTCCAGACACGTGTTGACAATGATGGCGAACAAGTGGAGACTTTGACTTTTTGAAGCTAGCTTAAGTGTATTGATCTATTATCCATTCTTTTTTTCCATTAAAAACGATAGTCCCATATACGCGTTAACATTTTTTGAAGCACCCTGTACACAGAGCCGCTCACCACCGCTGTCACCACGCCCCCGTGCGTGTGGGTGGTGTGGATTCGAACCCACGGCGCATCCCAAAATCACCGGACTCTTCACTCAGCGCTTTGAGCCACCCCCACCACCACCACCCCCACCACCCCCACCACCACCACCCCCACCACCCCCACCACCACCACTGGATGCGTCGCGCACCGGAGCACCCCGTGGCAGTGTTTCGATGGTCTCTGGCGCCATCCATGCAAGAACGTGAAAACGTCGCAAGTGCGATTTGAATGCAGAACGCCCAGAGCCAAGACTCGAGCAAGCGCTAACACTGCATCGAACAAGCATGCGGCTGTATTGTAACCGTCCGGTTTTTAAGCAATCGTCAATTTGAACATTGATATTTAACACTCGCAATTGTGTTTTGCTTTTCACACCTGATGATGACCGTTTGTGTTATGGTCGAAACGTCGTGATAATTTTTTATTGTTTTATATATATTTTATTATTTTATTGTTTCCCTTTCACGTGACTTTACCGAAAGAGCTAAGAATATTTACTGTACTGTTAATTTCTAATTTAGGCGTAATATTATAATTAACAATAAATAACTCGACATAAAGATGATTGTAAAGCCAGCGCAGCCACCCTTGTCTGACAGCAGATGTTGTTTCTCTTGATACTCCAGAGTATTTCTACATCCCAAATGATCATGCATGGTATTGGCCAAACATCCCATTTGCAGGGCCCTCTTGAAAACGAACCTTGATTCTAAGTGAGGCTTTTCCCGGGTAAATAATGGACACGTAACGTGTGCACATTTTCACTCTCGAGTGTGCGGCACCAACACTAATTCAGACACTGCATTCTAATAAAGGTTTATTTAGGGACAATAACATTGGTGTCCTGTGGCGAAAACAATAGGAAGAATGTTTACTTAAAACTATCGTGACTGCAGGAATTCATATTCTATGTTTTTTTTGGTAAAGTCACGTAGATAGAAAAAAATAAATAGTAATAAAAAGTGATTCAAAATATCGTGACTTTTCAATCGCAACACAAGCGGGCGTCATCAGGAACAGGGAGGTTATCCTCTAAGGGCAAGCTGTTTATAAAGGTTTAGAGATGGGCGGGGCAGCTAATGTTAATGTAGGAGAGGGCTCCGACACCGGCAGTAGGTCTACGCCAATCAGAGAGCTGTTTATAAAGGTTTAGAGATGGGCGGGGCAGCTAATGTTAATGTAGGAGAGGGCTCCGACACCGGCAGTAGGTCTACACCAATCAGAGAGCTGTTTATAAAGGTTTAGAGATGGCCGGGGCAGCTAATGTTAACGTAGGAGAGGGCTCCGACACCAGCAGTAGGTCTACACCAATCAAAGCATTGCACCTCGCTCCACACTGCTGACAGTGGAGGTTGACAAGAAAACACAACATTTGACCTCCTTTGCCAGTACCAAAATATAATAATAGGGTTTTTCCCCTTTTTTCTGGCAACAAAACTAAAACCTTTTTACGAGGATTCATGTCTGCATTAACCACAATACCTGCAGTCAAAATGCAAACAAAAAACATACTATGATAATATATGCATTGTCCTAGAAACTGATTGGTCCACACCAAGGGACGGCTTTCTTTTGAGCCTCGACCCAATTGGTGCTCGACCAGATGACGCCAAGAGGCGTCACACAGCTCAAAGACAATGCACTATCAAAGTAATGAGGGCTCGGGGTGAGCACCAATTGGGTCGAGGCTCAAAAGAAAGCCGTCCCTTGGTGTGGACAAATCAGTTTCAAGGACAATGCATATATTATCATAGTGCGTTTTTTTTTGCATTTTGACTGCAGGTATTGTGGTTAATGCAGTCATGCATCTTTGTAAAAAGGTTTCAGTTTTGTTGCCAGAAAAAAGAGGAAAACCCTATTATTATTATTATAAGAAAACACAAATCAAGTCATGACCAAAAGTGGTTGATGACATCTTTCCAATGATTGCTGAGCTTATAACCATCATCTCGGTTGAAATTGTCTGTCTGTAAATATGGATGGCTTCAAGAACGAATCTTCGTTGATAGCCAATAGACTTGCAAAGTACCATCGTCTTAGAGAAATCAATTTCGTGTGAGCCAGCTGCATTAAAATAATGATCAGCCACGGCAGAGGTATTGATCCTACCGTGTTTCAAATCTGCCTTATGCTTACGAACACTGTCCGAGACATGTCACTTAGTTTCCCCAATGTAACTGCTGCCACAGATACAGCTTAGTACTGGTAGGAACCTCTGGTTACATCAGCCCACAGGGGATTATTGTGCGTCTGTCGTGCATCCAAAAATGGGAGGGGTGGGGCTGGGTGGAGAGGGGAGGGTGGGGAGGTAGGGGCTGGGTGGAGAGGGGGAGGGTGGGGAGGTAGGGGCTGGGTGGGGAGGGAAGGGTGGGGAGGGGCTGGGTGGGGAGGGTGGGGCTGGGTGGGGGGTGGGAGGGATGGGGCTGGGTGGGGAGGGGCTGGTCACCCCGTGGTGCCCTTATAAAACTCAACGTTTCACCTACTCACGCCGGCTTGTGCCCGCCCTCACAGTCGGGCATATTGTGCGGAATACACCACGTGGTGCCGTCGTTGACCCTGGCCATTGACCGAGCAACCCAACGTTCCTACCAGCTCCCTCCGCAGGAATGTGTTTTGTAGATGCCGGGATATTGTATGTCAGGAATCTTGTCCTTCACGAAATGGGATCAGATCACGAATTTTATGTACTGTGTTAAATCGGACCTGGATCTTGTGTTTGTTCATGATTTTGGAAATATTTGTGGTTACCCCTGCTATGTATAGCAAGGTGATGGTTTTGATTGGACCCTCAGATGGCTCCTTTCTCACGGTTGGGGTGATGGCTTTGTGGATTGCGTAGTCAGAGTATCCATTCGCTTTGAGAGCGTAGATCGACGCGGGAACAAAGAAGTACGGTACAGGGAGAAAATTCATTTTGCTGCATTGTCTTCTATTGCCCACCACCTACACAATCAAGGGAGCATAACAGGCATGCCATGGTGTATTTTATGCTTCCGAGAGTATAAAATTCCTACAACCCTGATACTTGGGTAAGGTCACACCTGCCGCAAAGGTTATTCCATTTAATATTGTGAGAGGAAGCCACAAAGAACCACCACTTCCCATATGGAAACAATTAAGAGTTGATCTCTGGAAGATAATGTGTATTTAATAATAACTTGCAGACCTTAACAGTTCATCTGGAAAATGTTCTAAATTAACTGATGTAATGACTATATTTACAAGCAACACTATTCCCGCATTTTTTTCCAAACTATTTATTCATGGTAAATGTATATAAAGGAACGAAAAGTCATTTCAAGCGTAAACACGAGGCATTGTCACACGATGAATGCGATATCAGGTAGTTTGAACATGATTAATCCATCAATTGTATTGCATTTTGAACAAAAATTTGATCACATTAGTGTAGATTACTTGACATTTTACCACTCAAATCACAACAGCTATTACATTTACAATAAAGTGTGCTTATTTTAAAGTTTCAAACGCAGTAAATTACAATGTTTTCAAGAATGTAGTTAAACACGTTTTAGGGCCACTTCATATGAATTCAGACATCACGTGATGTTTTTGACCACACGTTTCAAACCCACAGAAGTTAATTAGTGCTTCTGACAGGGATTCAATCTCTCCATGATTCTAGGAATTGTTAAGATTCGTAACTATAAACTCCATTCTTTTATCCTTGGCATGCACGCATAATCTTTAGTGGTACGAATGCATTAAACAGTGGTATAAAAGCGATATTCATGATAGGGAAAAAGTCGATTCTTACACGTGCAATTCCATACACATAGTGAGCGTGAGAATCTGTTTTAAACGATCATCATATCCTCATTTCCTACCGCCTATAAGAGACAACTATTTTATAGCACTTGAGCATGATCCGTTAGATGCAGGTCGGCTCACATGTCGTGGAATTACAGACAACCGATGATTAGTTAATATCCAACAAGTATTCAAAGTACTTGCTTTAAAATTGCAGTTATTAAATACAATACCCAAGTTGGTGTTAAAACAGTTAATAATATTCTGATGCAATCTGTTTCATGGCAGGTGCATGTAATACATCTCAAGCACTCTCTTGTGATTATTGACTGGGGTAGTGCAACTCATACTCTACTGGATTTTAGTACAACAAAGTAAATTTTCACAAGTTTACGCTTGGTTGCTGGGTTGTTTAAGATCACTTCCTTTGCCTTTTATGGGAAGCATACCAAGTAAATATATAACTGAAAATATAGTTATGGGAATAAAAAACAATCTCAAGCCTACTTCCACTTTGACACGTGCAGCGCAAAAACACACTTCACTGTTGTAAAACGTGCATGGGTTGGAGAAGCCGAGGTGGGATATATAAGGTCAGCAGCCAAGTGAATCTGGTGGAACAGGCTATGAGGGTAAGTGGAAAAATGAGGCGAGTGGCAGAGTTAAGGAAGGAGATGGGGCAGCCAGGGTAGAGACAGGGGAGTGCCAGTGAAGGCTGGGGGAGCAAGTGGGTGAGAGGGGGGGGGTCACTACGGGAATAGAGAAGTGGTTGATGAGATGAAGAAGTCACCTGACTTCCCAGTTTGGGTGAGAACATAACCTGAGACGTAGGAAGGGGAAACGCTCGAGAACATTTCAACAGTTTTGCTGTTTAACAACATTTGGGACGTGTCGTTAAATCACACTTTAAAATCCAATGTAAATAGTTTAAGTATTCTGAAATAACATCGGTGAATCTGCAAATGGCACTGTACAATGTATTGGAATATTTCAATGAGCATTAACACCATGGTGCAATTAAGTTGGAAGATACAGGGTCCCAAGTATGAAGGAATGTAATATACAGAACCTCAAATAGTTTAACGTAAAAAAATCTTCATGATTCACATATGAAATAGAATTAAAAAAACACACATACACATCAGCCTACATTTTATATGCAAGTTTTAAAAAAAAACACTCTCGGTATGCCAGTTGGTTACGACTACCAGAGCTGAGTGCAAATCAGTGTGCATCTGTGTGTAAGAAAGTCGTGCCAAGGATGACGCGAAGTGAGGAGTAGCTTAGGAACACTTCCAGACACAAACTGCCATACTGCCTCCGAAGAACATATACAAAATGTTCTTGGTCTCGTGAGTGATCTCAAAGCCGAACCCCTCGCCCACCACGGCATGCCAGGAGGATCCAAACTTCTTGTCCATTGACTCCTTGATCATCTTGGCTGCAAGCTGTCACACAGGTTGGACATCCGTCGACTCCACACATACAAACGATGTTTCCCGCCACTCCAAGTATGCTTGCCTTACAAGTTCCATCTTGGATTGGTTCAAACATTTTTCAGCTAAACGTTTACAAAACTGAAAACTCCAATTCAAGCACACATCAATTAGATGTTTGATGTTGACTAGTCAACGCCTAGATGCCACTACACCGAACTGATGCCTTTTCTCCTATATCTTGCAGCTGTTGCAAAATAAAAACCCATCCACAAAGGTATATGCTTATGATATCTAACTATCTGGCTTTAGGTTTTACCCATCAAGTTGCCAACTTCTGGGTGCTACTCCAATGTCTGTCGCTACATTTTCATCGACATCCTAAAAATTACAAATTTTCTTTTCATGGCTGTCGACAACACTTTCTGACCACGTCCTTCAAAAACTTAAAAATTGCTTGCCTAGCATCTTCAACATACATGAAAAGCACGTACCTCATTGTTGGTGCCATATTTCTCACATGCTGTGACACACAGTTCCATTGTCTCTGTCCTCATTTCTTCTGGCATGTCTGTGTGCTGGGGCACATGCACACAAGAGAAAAAGTACCGGCATTCATACTGAAATACTGAATACCTAATTAGGTATCAGGCCAGATCAAAATTCGATGCTGAATAATAAAGTGGTTTCGTATCACAAATGATTCAATTCCTTTGTCATTGAATTACTGGGTGAAGGCCTCCCCCACACTGTGCCAGTCATGTGGGTTGTTTACCCATACTTCACCACCCTGTTCAGTGCGGGTTTGTAAAGGGCCGGGGCGTAAATGTTGGAACATAGTACACTTTATTTAACAGCAATGCCCCCTGCTGACAACATATCCTCGTGGATGTGCATACGCAGGAATGGTTTAATACATGTACTGTAATACATTGCATACTGTATATAATGTATACTGCATTCACACGACATTTACTGTGCCCCGTGACTACGTGTACATCACACATTTTCCAACGTTTTAAGTCCAGCGTCATCCCTCTGTAAACGGGCGGCTCCCATCTCCGTCAGCAACTTTGAGTCAGGGGTAAAAAACTAACAAAATATCCACATTAGCATGGCCGGGCTAAGTGAGTATTTCTAATGGAACGACTGTTAAACTCAACACCAAGTGATTACTCGTTTTCATCGAGTCGGGACGGACGATATTCCTGAACCTTCCGAATGACTTTTCATCACAGCGCCCTTAAGCGGGAGGGGGTGTTTATGAGATAAATTTATTTATTAATTAGATATCGTACCACGGAAGAACTTGTAATAAAACTGTTAAGGTATTTGATAGTTGTCTTTTGTAAATTGGTGAAGTATAAGTAATATTTTGTACAACACGCGTGAAATGTTAGGAATTACATTTTATATTGAGCGTTTATTTAGTAGTAATTTATTCATGACGTGTGCAACTTGTTTCGTGTTCATTTAGTAAACAGTTAAGACAATAATTATTAAGTGTAAGTAATAGTAGTAAAGAGTTCTTGCATACCGAGTAGTCAATTGTTACGACGCCGGTGATTCAATTGTAAAATAACCCACTTCTGGCCTTAGCTGTTTGTTAGCCAGCATTTTGTGTTTAATCTAACTGTGGATGGCTTTCAAACTTCTGGGTCTCATCATTGACCTGGCGTAGGCTACACAAACACTGTTTACAATGTTACTGGTGGCAGCACTCTGTATTCTTATCAACCCTGTTAATGTAAAGCACAATACGCTATGACAACCTATTTAGTTGGAACATTTCTAATTTCCTTGGGATGTATTTATTTAATCGTAGAGTGTTTGGCAGTCCAGTCATGTTTATTTGTTCAGTAATTTCAGTGTTTAGGCGTGCATTATTTAGCAGTTAATCATTTAATAGAAAAGTGTCTCTTGCTTATTTATCAGTCGCGCGTTACTTATCAGTAATCTATACGGGCAATTTAGAAGTGTTTAGCAGCAATTCGTTTATTCAGCAGCTGTTCAGTCGCAGCGTTCATTGAACGTATCATTTAGCAGCGGCTTGTTTATTCATCATTCAGCTCCATTATTATCGGCAGTTAGTTTATTTGTCGCTAATTCATTACTCAAATTAAGTAAATCTCCCTCCCGGTCTCTTGCCCCGCGGGCGCGGAGGGGGTGAGGGGGAGAGTGGCGCCCCCCACCCCACCCCTCTTCCTCTCGGCTCGCCAGCTCAGGAAACAAGGAGGCTCCTCGCCCGCCGCGAAGGCCGCGATCACCTCCGCATGGCGCGGGCGTCGCTGCTTCTCTCTTCCATTACAATCGCTGGGCTGCAACTTCAATCCCCCCCCCGCCCTCCTCCTCCTTCACGGAGGTCGCGCGTCGATGAGGTGGTCTACCCTGAGCAGAGGGAAGCTGTGCAGGCGCTTGTAGTCGGCCTCGTCGCGTCGGCTGTCGGCAACCTCCGCCATGGTCGCGTTGCCATGGAGACCGCGTCCCCCCGCGGGGAGGGAGGCGGGGGGAGTCAAGGGTCACCCTTGCGCAGACTCCCGAATATTTAAACCGGAGGGGAAATCCGATGCGCTATAAAGCTCTTTTTCACAGAAAACCTATTTATATCGGAGGAAATTCAATTAGATAAAAAGCTCTTTTTCACATAAAATCTATTTATATCGGAGGGAATTCAATTAGATAAAAAGCTCTTTTTCACAGAAAACCTATTTATATCGGAGGAAATTGAATTAGCTATGAAGCTCTTTTTCACAGAAAACCTATTTATCTTCTTTGGTTCTTTCGGTAAAGTCACGTAGAATGAGAATAAAATAATAAATTTATAAAAAAAAATAACACAATAATATTCTCACGTTTCGGCCACAACACAAGCGGCCGAAACGTCGTGAGAATATTATTGTTATTTTATTTTATCAATGTATTATTTTATTCTCATTCTACGTGACTTTACCAAAAGAACCCAAGATGAATCCTTGCAGTCACGAAAGCTTTAAATCGAAATTTAAACCTATTTATATCGGAGGAAATTCAATTAGCTATAAAGCTCTTTTTCACAGAATCAAAATATTTATACCGGAGGGAAATCCGATGAGCTGTAAAGCTCTTTTTTTACAATCAGAATATTGTTATACCGGAGGGGAAATCCGATGAGCTGAAAAGCTCTTTTTTGCCAAAAAAATATATCGGCGGAAATCCAATGAGCTATAAAGCTTTTTCACAGAATCGGAAAATGTATATATCGGAGAATATGACGCACGATAAAGCTCGTTTTCAGAGAATCAGAAAATGTATTTATCCCGGAAGAAATCCAATGAGCGATAAAGATTTTTCACAGAATCAGAATATTTTTCTACTGGAGGAAATCCGATTAGCTATGAAGGTCTTTTTTTCAAAGATGTCCCGCAGGGTCAGGTCAGATGTTCAGAGTATTACTAACAAGTATTACCTATAGATTACAAATAACATTTTAATATTGGGATATTTAAAAGCCCAACAGGCTAACCTTGGTTGACTTTGGATAATAAATAATATACTAAGGCTACTGGTAATTTAAAAATGAAAACACAGAATAAAGTTATGTTTGCCAGTTTATTTCTTGACAAAACAGGACTAGCGTACATGCTAAAATATTTGAAAGCGTAAATATAAAACAAATTTTTAATCTAGCATATATACAAAGCCATGTATAGTCAATAAACAGCTGATATATCTTTACGGAAGTCATATAAAACTATTTTATGAATTTCTCCAAGATCGAGGTCACGACAGCCATTGGTGCTGCCATACCGTGCCACTGTCCTTCCTTCTGCTGCATGGCTCAGCTGCTGCAGTCAACATCCTCAACACTTCCAAGTAGCAGACCGTATCTTGTAACTCAATTCGTAATATTTCATTCTTGCCCGTTACATAGGCAAGAAGCTATTTTTCGAGTTCGAAATATTGTATTTTTTTGTATTTATCAACTACTGTATTTAATGTCATGCTTGACATTAATGCTTGACATTAAATACATTAAAAGGATAACGTGGAAAGCGGCATTGTTAAATATACACGTCATCAAGTTTTGCGTGCTTCCTTGTCCTCTATGGATCAGCAACTTCAACGCCGACGGCATCTGAGGGCAGCTTAATTTCTTCGTCACCAAATCTCTTCACAAACTCTTGGGGGGGGAGTCTTGGTGGGATGACTTCATATAACCAAAGACAACGTTTTCTACCTGTATGACAAGCACTCAACCAATACCATTTTGGGCATGTGGCTAGGTTCTCTGTACTTGATCATGTTGTTCCCGATTCTGGATGCCAGGGTGTCCCTGATGGGTGTAGAAGGCCATGTGCTCTTGGCTGCAAAAAAATGTACAGCTATTCTTGAGTTTGGAATGGAAAGGAGCTTTCTTTCAGGATTGCCAAAGACATATTAGATTGGCAGTCTCAAGGTAGATGCTAGGAACATTTTCCTACACGTGATTTAACTAAAAACTAGAGAATAAAATTGCATATATACAAGGAATTTATTAAAAATGACTTTTCTTTACCAATGTTGCCAACTCTCATAACTATCAATTAGTGTACGACTGCAGCTAAACATTTCGTGAAGAGGACTGCTAATTTTAATCCAAATGGTCCTGATTCTCTGAATTGCATAATACCATCTGGTCCAGCTCTTTGTTAAATACTGCAAAGGGCAATGGTTACTTCTTTAAACGTAACTAGAATTATTTGAGTCCCAGGATGACTTTTTGCAAGAAATCTGCAAAACAAAAGGAAAAAATATATGAGAGTGGACATGTCTCAATCATGGAATTATATATCATTCTTATATTCAAAAGTAACTAAAAGAAAAAATGCTTGAATTACATTGTTAGACGATTATTAAACGTATTAACATTTTTTATAACGATCATTGGAAACATAATGGAACATTTAGTAGCCAAATTTGTACTTATAACATTCGTGACTGCAGGAATTCCTATTCTTGGTTCTTTCGGTAAAGTCACATAGATAGAAAACAAAAAACTAAATTAAAAGGTCTTCATCAGGTGGATGAAGACTGCTTGTGTTGCGATTGAAACGTCGTGGGTTTTTTGCTTTAAATGTTTATTTTCTATCTACGTGACTTTACCGAAAGAGCCAAGAATATTTAGTAGCCAACAAACCACCTGAGCAAGCACGGTTTAAAAAAGTTATCTAACACTGACCACATACAAACTATTAAGAGGATTCTGGAAAAGACGAATTAATATCAAATGCCATTATGCCTTGGTTTTGTAGAACATGAACAGGGAGTCATCTAAGCTCGAATAATCCAAGGTTAAAATAATTTTTTTAAATGCATTTACAAAAATAAAACAGCTACACTGAAGCCGCATGAAGAAATATCCAACATATAAAGTATAAGGGTAGTTGACAGAGAAATTAATAAAGGCGTCTGTAAGATTAACAAAACAAGACATATACCAGTTGATAAATATATCGTTGGAGAGATATAACTATACTCTTTGGTTCTTTCGGTAAAGTCACGTAGGTATAAAATCAAATCAAATAAATCACGACGTTTCGGGCACAACACAAGCATCCATCATCAGGTGGGACTTTACCAAAAGAGCCAAAGAGTATGGATTCCTGCAGTCACAAAAGCTTCAAATCAAGAGATATATAACTGTGAAACACAGCAGTGTGTGCATACAGAGGGCAGTTATTGAAGGTGGACTGGGATGAAAATGATGAAAACAAACAGGTGAGAGTGGTTTTGAAAAATTTAACTCGGTAATGAAAAATTACCGGACGCCGAGCTGAATCACAGTGGCAACCAAAGGAGGAAGCACGTTGAAAAGGATGTTCACTGCGAAGATAGAGTAATGAAATCTGCTAAATGAACTTTTATTGAAAAACCATGAAAAATTGAGACTTGGGAAGGTCTTCACCAAGTAGTGGATAGATCATGGATGGTGGCTGCAACAACAAGGACTTTTCAAATCTCCACTTTATTTAATATATTGAGTTTCAAAATATTTTAAGCACACTCAAGTGTCATACCTATATATTGTCAAAAGCCTCAAAAAGAAGTTTTGACTTAAACTCTTGCTCTTGTTTCTCCAGAATCATTTCAAGGTTTGAGGAGATATCTTGCACCCCTGGAAATATAAAAAAGATCACCTTTTAAACCAAACTCCAATATAGTATTAGTGTACATCATGACTTCTGTTATAGTTCATTCAATACAATATTTGTACGATTCAAAATTTAAACATTTTCAAAACTATAATACAGGATTTTTTTTTACAAGTGAATAGACAGTAAATGAAACATCTAAATAAATCCATAATTCATTCAAATTAAATTAGCAACATTTACTTGTCTGCTTACTTGTGTGTGCGCAACTGAGCTGTAAATGCTGCCCGATGAAAACATGACAGAACCAATTATATTTTTTAAATCCTTGCAACCCATGTGTTGAATAAAGATGTAATGTTTGATTGAAAAATCTCCAACTGTACCTTTCAATGAGAGAGTGACGGTGCCAGGTAGCACTCTCAACAAGCTGGAGTACTCCAGACGGGCTGCTACCACACAGTTTTGCTCTTCAAATGTGAGCCGATACTTAAAGTGCATGGTGGTGATTGCAGCGTTGCGGGAAAAGCTGCCCACCAGCATATCCGAGAACTTGCTCTAAACAAAAGAAAACGACGATCAAACTGCACACTATGGCAATTCCTCGCCAACCGAGGGGGGTTTACATTCCTGAAAACCGCCGTTGGTTTTGCAAAACCGCGTTCAGCCTTATGGGAAATAGGGGGTTAGGGCAACCGTGGCCGTGGTTACACTCGTCAAAGCCGAACAAAGTTGCCCGTTTCTTCAATAAACAAAAAATAAATACACACCATAATAAAAAAAAGCAATAAATGTTCAAATAACAAAATACAAAAAAATTAAGTAATGTTATTTAACGTTAATACTGAGGCTTGAAGTTCATGGTAATAATGAACGTTGATAAGGATGATGGGGAGGTGGTTGTTAGAAGTGTAGTGATCAGCGGCGATGCCTTATGGAGATGGTTGGGGCTTGGGTACTTTGTGTGGGACTGGAGGGGCAAGTCGGTTTGTTGGTGTGTGGACACACACTCGGGATGATTGCTTGGGCGGTGTGGCAACTCCCCATGGAGTGAGGAAATTGGGGAACAGCTGTATTTAATAATGGTATAATGAAGGGAGAGCGCTCCACCTACATAATGGGGGGGAGCTCTTGGAGGATGGGTGAGCAGGTGCCTTGGCCGTGGCTGGGTAGCTCTACTATATTAAATCTGTTTTTATGATTACTTTTTATGTTATTTTAAATAAACAATATCTGATGGATACCGAACCTCCTTTGGCCGCTCCAATGAACTCTGAGACTCGCCTAATTGGTTGCACAATTAGAGGCCATAATTAAGGGCAAAATTATTGCAAATAAACAATAATTAAATGTAAATAAACATGGAATAATGCGTAGCATATGTGGACGCACATAACCATATTGGTGGTTAGAGAGCAGTGGTGGGAGCTGGAGATGTGTATCCGCTAAACTGCGAATACACGAAACTCCATACTACGGTTAAAAAATTGGTATGCCAAAATAAACCTGTGGATACATAAATACCGCGGATTTCTGTATATGAAAATTAATATTTCAATTGGTAATATAAAAATGACCAATATATTACCGATGTAAATACAAAATTGCAAAATTAAGTCATAAGGCCATGTGCCCAATAAACTACAACAGCAATGATCAAATAAAAATTAAGTCGTAAACATTTCAACCAGAGGGATGGCAGGTTGAGCCCACCCAACTGGGATTTGACACATCAGCTTTTATCAAATAAAAAGTCCCGTCTCGTCTTTAAATGAGCATGCAGCAGTATCAATATGCATCCAGTCAGTAGTCAAGTTACAAAGCCAGGCTATCTATACCAAATTAGTATGAAATAAAATAAATCCATTGCAATTTCAATCCTCTTCGTTCATTGTCTCGTGTGTGACATGCGCATCACCTTGGTGCGTTCGACTTGCTCTCTGCGCGCAACAAAAGCATTGAGGTAATCGCCGAGGACCCAAATGAAATGCTGTAGGTTCTTGGCCAGGTGCTTCTCTGTCAGCTCCTTGAGCGGCACAAACTGCGGGAAGGAGTGTCGGAGCAGAAGCGGAGGATCTTGCTTTTTCACCTCCACAATGTAGCTCTCGTAGTACTCGTCCCCAAATGCCGTTCCCAGCGTGAAAATCACCGTACCCTTTTCCCATATCGGCTGTGCAGTAATGCCTGGCAGACGAGGCATGAAATACATTCAAACTTGTGAGGACAAATGCTGTACCAACAACAACAAAACCAACTGTCAGCATGTGGTTTATGGAGCTCAGAATGCACTGTTCAAATTGCCGTGGGACTCACCATGACAGACACTGAATGACCACATTACTTTGTACTCATTAAAAGCTCATAAACACATTTAAAGGGTATACTAACCAACCATATAGTAGAGTATTTACAGTGTTGATTAACATGGACATTTGTCATGGTTTAGTTACTTTAAGTAGTTAAATCCTAATGGATTTGGTGACAACACCAAACCATATGGTGAAGCGGAAATTCTTCTTGAAGATGACAAGATGAAAAGCAAACTAAGTTTATATCAAAATCAGGGAGCCCGGAAATTGTTTGAGTTAATGTGTAGTGGTATCCTTTAATGCTTCCATTGATTTTTTTTGGAGTTCACAGGTGTTTGCCATGTGGTCGATGGGCTGGTCAGTATTATGGCCCCTCTGCCCACCTGCCAGACTGTAGAGATGCATCATGGATTGTAGTTTGATGGTTTTAGCCCTCAGGACGGCTTGCTTCTGCTCGGTGGTGGAATCCCGTGGTATTCTCGTTGTGGGTGACTTTACCACATCTGCCAAAATCTTCACATACACACAAGATGTCAGTACAATTTGTGGCTAAACCATGTTTCATACAAATTTTACACTAACCAAAACATTTAAAAAGCACGAGATTTGTGAATACGGATATATTTTATGGTTGTAGACGACAATACATTACTTCGGAAATGTAACAAATTCAGTGACATGAAGGTTTCCATGTCAATATATTCTGTATGTGCTTCACACATTTTTACCGAGAGTCCATATAATGTCAAAAGTCGGTTCTATTGGCATTAGCAATTTCCCATAAATAGTATCTGAATCTGGTCCAGATAACACGATATCAGTAGCAGAGGACTCATCTTACCATTTCAAATTAAACTATGAATTAAAATCCTGGTTGGAGATTAACTTTGTCCATCAATAAATTAATACTGCTCTGTGGGAACTCGAAAAGACCGTTTCCTCCACGACCATTGGATTGTGGAATTTCCTCCCTTTAGTCTTCTCCCCAGTGATAAGATATTTGGCTCAAACTTCCTCTGACTTTTTGGCGTTCTCTGGTCTGCCACTGCTGAGACTCGGCCATGAAGAAGGCTGTCTCTGGAGTAGGCCAAGCAGTTTCAAAGACAATCAGAGCATGTTTGTTTGCATGTTCACCACAAGTACGTGTGGTTAATGCAGACTTGATTCCTTTCAAAATGTATTTATTTGGTTTTCAAACATCTTAACACCTGTTTTATTACTCTTTGGTTCTCTCGGTAAAGTCACGTAGGTATAAAATAAAATAAATTAAATCACGACGTTTCGATCGCAACACAAGGGACCGTAATCAAGTGGAACAGATGCAGCAGGAGAACTGCTGACATAGGTGAAAGAGCTGCTGCAACAAGAGTTTATATCGGATTTTTGGTGGGCTCAACCCAATGGTAAGTGGGAGGAGCTAGAAAAGGAATTTGTACGTAAATGTAAATGTGAGAGATTAGCATGTCAATGTGAGAGGGTCCCCAGCCACCGGAGGTGGTGGGAATCCTGTGCCTTGGCTGCCACACAGATATTTAAGCCTGGTGATGTACTCGGAGAGTCGGAAATAACAGCTGTAACAAGCAGGTAGCATGGAAACATCACAGTCAGTTAAGACTTTACTTGGTTAATAACGTCCTTTCAATGATTGCTCAGTTTGTATCCATCTTCCCGGTTGAAGTTATGTCTATGTTTCAGATCTGCCTTGTGCTCGCGAATACGGTCCGATATATGTCGTTTCGTTTCCCCAATGTAACAATCATCACAAGTGCAACTTAGTTTGTAGACTCCAGGGTATTGCATGTCAGGAATGACATCCTTCACGGATGGGATTAGATCACGGATTTTGTGTACTGTACTGAATCGGACCTGTTTCATTGCCAGAAAGGGTAAAACCTATTCTTATTTTTTATCTTTCCGACCTATACTCTTTGATTTTTTCGGTAAAGTCACGTAGGTAAAATAAAAATAAAATAAAACATCTAAATTAAATCACGACGTTTCGGAGGCAACACAAAAAGCTTCCGTCTTCAGGTGGAACAGTCACAGCAGAATAGCTGTATCAAGTGGAGCTCTGAGACAACCGATATTATATACAGGTTAAGGGGGGGGGAGGAGCCAGAAAGGGACGTGGGTGGGGGGGAGGGCTGAGCTAAGCCGCCTTTTGTTATGCTGCAGGGGGTTCGGGGGAAGAGATGCACAAGTACACACAACCCACTGAAAGCAATGGAAATGGCTGTACAATTATAAGGCAGCTAAAGTTTGACTTGGTTTATAACACCTTTCCAATGGTTGATGCTGCTGGGGGTTCGGGGGAAGAAATGCACAAGTACATACAACCCATTGAGAGCAATGGAAACGGCTGTACAATTATAAGGCAGCTAAAGTTTGACACTGAGGGTTCTTTTTAATTTCCTGATATTATGATGAACTTCTGTATGTAGCCAACCATGCTAATCGACCTCCTACGTGAATACATCTAAGAATTTCCGCCACTGCAAAAGGCCACTTTATATATATCAGCACACTCAGCATGAGAACACCCATTTCACTCATATGTTGTCATTATGCTCCTGGGGATGAATGAAGTCATTTCGCTGGAAAATGTTTTCTTTAGAACTGCTTTTCGTGTTTAGTTTGTTGTCGTTCCGCCGTACCTCCAATGAGTGTGGTTGGCTACGTGCAGTGCGAAATAAGTTCATCATAATACAATAATAAAGGATTTTGTTGGGGTGAGATCGCGTAAATATAAATCAGTCGTTAAACAAACGTACATATACATCTACTGGACATCAATAAAACTATGACCATTGGTTTAAACTACTATGACGCGTGGTTTTTCCCTCCACATTTATAAACATGCGTTTGGAATTTTTGACGGCTAGAAATTTCCACATGGCAAGCCACTTCGTTGAGCTATCATTTGTGGCCAGGTCGCTTCTGAAAATGAGCTACAGTATATTGTTCAGTGGGCCTTACCTGGTAAAATAAATAAATATACTTAGTTTCAATATTACTGGACATCTGTGACATAAGAGCTTTATAGCTCTTCTGATTCCTCCAGTATGAATACATTCTGATTCGAGTCGGCTTCCACCCTGCTGCCACTGCCCGGTGTGGACGTTACATACCTGTCAAACCCTTTTCAGTGCCTATCTTATTACAGACCAATTCAGACCTTATTGGTCTTCCCGGTGCCCTTATAAATCTCAATGTTCATCCTACAAAAATCCCCATCACAGGGGGGGAAACACACAAATCGACAAAACAAAAAGTGCCCGCATTTAATCGGCTGTAACGCCGCACGGACCTGAAAAACGCAATTTTCCCCGTACAAGATTAGACGGAGTCAACGCGTATGGAGTCAACAGGCAAAATGAACGACGTTACACCTTGCGGGGTCTGTGGGCGAGCTGCTGGCGCAGGGCATCTCTGCGCCGACGGAGGCGAAGGACTTCGGCGTACGCGTCCCGCAGATCGTCATCCTTCCTCTGCGCTGACAGCTGCAGCCGTGCCAGCTCAACGGCCCGAGCCTCCAGCGAGTCCAGCTGCTGCATGGTGCCTTTAAGGTTTACGCACCAGGTTGGAATGATATTGTTGTTATTTACATTCAAAATATATATATACATGGGGCAGATAGGGAAACCAGCAATCATATTCACAGCGGTGAAGGTGCCAACCCGCGAGGCAGTGAGAAACGAGCTAAAATAAAGGTGTTACTTTTTTGCGTACCAGGAGCTGAGGAGGGTCGTGTTGGGGTCCCAGATTAAAAGAAACTTCAACTGCAAGAAGTCTTCCCACGTCTATTGTGACAAAAAGGTTTTATTTTGTAGCTGCTCACCCGAGCTATAAATTCCTTGATAGTGCATTTTCCTTGTACTGTTCGCCTTTTAGCGTTCTCTGGTCTGACATCGGTGGTTGAGACTGGGCCCTACGGATGGCTGCTGCCTCTGGTGTAGATTCATCAGTTCCAAAGCCAATGCATGTCACGATATCACAAGAGCATGTCACGATATTATAAGAGCATGTTTGTTTGCATGTTCATAAGTACCGCGTGTGGTTAATGCAGAACTTGATTCCTTGCAAAATGTTTCTATTTGGTGTTTGAACATCTTAGCACCTCCTGTTTTATTGCCAGAAAAGGGGTAAAAACCTATTATTGTTTTCATACTTTTTATTTTGTTACTTGATAAAATTCACTGTAAAGCGACAGTCGGGGGGGATGTTTGGCCGATGATCCAGAATTATCACTCTCGTCGCTTATCGGCGGCAAGTCGCCTTCCTAATTCACAATCAGAATATTTATTTATACTGGAGGAATATGATGAGCCCCAAAAGCTATTTTTTCACATAAGTTCAGTCCGGGCAGGTTATATAACGTTACAAAACAACACGACATTAGTGATCTTACCATGGTTATATGCGGGGCCTGTTTCATTATCCGCCTACGTTATGTCGGGGACACACGGTGCGGAGATGCGCAATAAATCAATAAAAACATTTTAAAGTGCATTGATTATTGTACGAGTGAGAGAGTGATCTAATTCTTACCTCGAGTGAGAATCGAATTCGCCTCTTCCATCGCAAGCCACGGCTTCTCTCGGGGAGCTCTATTCCTTTGTAAAGTGGGGACGAGGCGAGTGGGTTGTGTTGACACACACACGGGGAGGCTGTAGATGGGTGAAGCTGGAGGTGACGATGTATACGAGGGCGAATGAATATGTATGGGGATTTAGGCTGCCGTGTTGGGCCGTAAAGATGAAGTGTGATTCTTTACGCGCTTTGAGGCTGCACGCGAGGTTGTGGATGTGCAAAGCTGCGGTTTTAGGAGGACGAGGCTGTCTGGATGGTTGGTGTTGTAAATGATAAGACTCTGACGCTGTATGGGTGTAGGTAAGGCTGTATGTGTATTGTTGAGGCTATGTAGGTGAGGTTGTGTGAGGCTGTGTGGAGGTGAGGCTGTGTGTGTGCGCGAGGCTGTGTGTGTGTGTAAGAGAGAGGCTGTGTGTGTATGAGCGAGGCTGTGTGTGTATGAGAGAGGCTGTGTGTATGAGCGAGGCTGTGTGTATGTGTATGAGAGAGGCTGTGTGTGTATGTGTATGAGAGAGGCTGTGTGTGTGTATGAGCGAGGCTGTGTGTGTATAAGCGAGGCTGTGTGTGTATGAGAGGCTGTGTGTGGATGAGCGAGGCTGTGTGTGGATGAGCGAGGCTGTGTGTGGATGAGCGAGGCTGTGTGTGGATGAGCGAGGCTGTGTGTGGATGAGCGAGGCTGTGTGTGGATGAGCGAGGCTGTGTGTGTATGAGCGAGGCTGTGTGTGTATGAGAGAGGCTGTGTGTGTATGAGCGAGGCTGTAGTCAACGCCGACTTCCGCCCTCACTTTCAAAGTGAGGCGCGAGGCGCAACGCGCGGGAAACTCGATTCCGCGGCTCCTATTGGTCGGCACGGCACACGTGGTCCCGCAGCGGCCAATCACACGCCAGGTTACGGTGACCCCCTCCCCGTTCCTAACGAATCCATCATTTTTTGGAATCGAATTAAGAGGGTAGCAAATCCTATGGAATCGCTTCGATCAAATCGGTTTCACAAAACGACATTGACATTCTTGTATCGATCCCCCCCTCCACACTCCGTTTATATTGGTATTTTTTTGCTGCGATACATTTCCACGTGGTGGTGATGATGATAAGCCACTTCGTCGGGCAATCATTTGTGATAGCCAGATCGCTTCTTCAAAATAAATTAATAGTGCGCCTTAGCTTGTGAGATATTTTGTAAGTGATTTGTTTACCTTTCCTATAATTTGCGCTCCTATCGCGTTTTTTTTGTATCGTGTGTTCTTGTTGTTAACGTTCCGAGCCGCCCTGTCCATCCGCGAGAATAAGTAGAAACGCTTTAAAGCTCCTCGGATTCCTTCAGCAAATAAACATTCAAAGACTCCGTTCGCGGTGACGTCAAAATCTAGGCGACGTAAACCTCGCCGCCATATTGCTAAGGGAAAGTTGTGGGCGGGGGGCGCCCCACGGCAGCTGTCGCCGCTTCTTCAACGTCGCGCCCCCCCTTGTTCACCGAGCCGCACGGGGCAAGGTCCCCCTACCCAAGATGGCCACCCGGAACGTTCTCGGCCTCTTCCAACTTTGTCTCGGCGGTCGCTCCTCCACGTGTCTCGCTCGCACGCCCACAACTCAGCCACCACGCCACTCGCACACCACGCTCCACCACACACGCCCGGCACCTACTTCTGGTACAGCAGTGGCTCGGAGAGGCGGTGGCGGCGGCGGCGGCGGACGGGCGCGGGGAAAAACAAAAGAGTCGGTGGCGGTTGAGAGAGAGCCAGCAACGCGGTAAGATCTCTATTAGTGATTCTTCCCACAAATTACGAAGGAGCGATATACAACTCCGCTTTTACTCCCGTCACGCGGTTGTTCTGGCTTGATATTGCTCTGCATCGTCATCAGCCGTACGAAAGAAGAGGAAAACCGAGGGGGGCGGAGAAGCCAAGGACAGGAACCAGGGTGTGGGGTAGATCCCCTCCACCCTGCGTGGTGATGTCGGGCCGCCTGGTGCAGTACGTGGTGGTGCTGGGAGATCTGCAGAGCGGACTGGGCTGGCCGCTGGGCGCGCTGGTGGCGCAGGCGTGCCACGCGTGCACCGCCGCCCTGCATCTGTACTACGCCGAGGCGGACACGCAGCGCTACCTGGGCGACCTGGACAGCATGCACAAGGTGGTGCTGCAGGTGCGGCGTTAAATGCACTGCGAGGTCTCTCACATCGGGCCCATACACACACACACCCCGTGTGGTCCCAAAAAAGTTTATGGTATCTTGACCTCAGCTGACCCAATTCCATGTGACCCAACCCCCCGCCTGATCTGACACCCACCCGCGGTCCATTTGACGAAACATTACCCGACCCCCACATGATCACATCCGATGTTACCTCTCTTAACGCGACTGCACATGACCCCTAAACCTGACCGCATGTGAACCCACTACCCAAAAACCGACGCCTGGATTCCAACTCGTGTCAGTGCCCCATCCTGCTCTTGTCCAAGCGTTGAAGGATATAAAGCTACGGAATATTGGTAGTCGGGTAATGTTAAAGAAGAGACAGATAAGGGCGTTCGTTATCTCACCTTAACCAAAATAAATGTAACGTATCAACAACCTGAATTCGACCTGAATTCGATGCGCGATATCTGAAACCGTTTCTGCTTCCCCCACCGCTCACGCCAAGCCCGCTCGGACCAACGTGGTGAAGTATGGACAAATAACCTCCACGGCGTGGGGAGGCTTTCATGCAGCACGTGGAGTGATAGAAATCTTTACATTCTCGTGGATCTGGTTTATTCCAGTAACATGAAGCAACTGCACGAGTCGGGCGTGGGATGTGTTGACTTGCCTTCCCGGCAATAATAAACCGGTAAAAAACAACAACTTTACCGGCTTGCTGCACGTGATAACATGTCAAGAGCAATACACAGAACACGTTTACCCATTTAACACGTAATGGTACTACCGTGAGTATAATAATGGTTAGCAGTTCACTGAATTTATAATGCAGCGGTCGCCGGTGCTGTACCATCTCCCGGCGCGGCAATTTAAAATGTTGATGCATCGTTCGTTACGATAATTCCATTGGAGTCTGTTACCAACCGGGCCCCGAGACATTCGGTTTTCCTGCAATCTATTCTGAAAACGGTTATGGATATAGATCCAGACCCTGACGCCGGCTGTATATTTGGAGTTTGCGTGTCACTCTTCTTGTGGTCACGTGGATTTTATTCTCCACGTCCTCCGGGTTTTCTCACATGCAGAATCAACGTCACGCGTTTAGAGTATTTGGCCGCTTTAAACGGAAACATGATAAGCCACTTAGTTGGACTATCATTTGCGGCCAGGTCGCTTCTGAAAGAGTTATATAGCTCAGTGGGCCATAATACAAAACAAAATACGCGGTGGTAGCCCATCCACACACTCTCGGCTCAAACTTGATTAGCTTCCAAGTTTGGGGACATTCCGTGTAATTGTGGACAGCGTAAGTCAGTGCAGCTGAATTGCATTGTACAGTACTGTTACTTCTCTGTTGCCATGCCTGTGGTCTCCACCTTCACCAACCCACACGAACCAACGTGGTAAACCTAGGTCAAATAATCGCCCACGTTGTGGGTAGGCCCTCAGCCAGCAGTGGATTTGAAAAGTGTGCTGAATGTTGCGTCGCAAGTCTTGTATATGGAATTGTAATTGGTTTAATTTTCGCATCATTGCACCTCTTGATTTTCAAACTCCCGTGTTAGAGAAATACTCCCTCCCATGTTAGCAGTAGGTTCAGCTAATTTCTGCTCAGATGGAAAGAGATTATGGGCCTTTAAAATCAAGTACTTTATCCATTAATTTACTTCCCACAAATACACATGATTTGCATCACGTGCACATACGGGGGAATTTACCTGCATTTATCAATAAGTTTGTTAAATTCATGGAAATTACTTAATGTCTTTGCCACTCCTAATAATTACTTTCATTTACTTTGACTGTTTTAGTGGAAAAATAAATGTGCAATTTCATGTTTCACAATGCACAATGAATAATAAGTCGCCCCAAACGTTCATTATGACTAGGTTTCATGTAAACTTAGGTCTTGAAAATCATAGCATGTCACATTCAGCTGCATTGCACCTGGGAAACTGGCCGATAATTTATTCCACGTGGTAAGTTTTTTTTATTAGAATTCTGAAAATGAATTTAAAAAAACAATTGCTCTGGAGTGTGGCCTCTTGACGCTGCCAGCGATGCTATTTGGCTTGCAGGCAGATGACAAGGACGCCTTGACCCAGTTGTCAGAGAAGCTCACGGTGGAGAATATCCAACACAAACTGTGGGTGGAGCAGCCCGAGAACATCCCCACGTGCCTGGCCCTCCGACCGTACCCCAAGGAGCAAGTGCACCACTTGCTCAAGAAGTTCAAACTGCTCAAGTGACTCCAGTTTTGTGATCAACATCGATTAATGGACAACGGCCTCTTGATGCGTTTGCAAAACATTGTGTATGGTTTCGTGGAAACTGTTGGGATAGCTACTGTGGTGGTAAATATCTACACTTAAGAAACTTACAAATAGACCCTGAGAGATTATGAAGGGGTATGTCCAATATTTAGCCATTTTAAATCACTCAACTACTTTTTTCAAGTCCAATTCAGATGGCTAGTGTCACAGCAGTTCATATGCATGTGCTAATACTAATTCTGGCAATAAATCTGAGCCCAACTGATATCTTTAACCAATTCAAATGTGTTTGGTGACCTGCATCAGCCAATGCACAGTGCTGCGACGTCATTGTAGCTGTCAGGACTCACTTAAGAGTATCAGCTGTAACACTTTGTACATCACAGCGAATTAGTAATTTGCATACTCATCCGATGTATAAACTTCATAAGTGTGAAAAATGCAGTTCCAGATAAATATTGCTGTCATGGGAAACATGTCTTCCGACTGACTGATAGTGTTAATTCCAACACCGAGTTATTAGAGGGGCAAACTGTGTTATAGCATAAACACATGGACACTTTATAGTATTGGAAAATTTGTTTTACTGTTTAGATTTAAAATAGGCCCTGGTCATGTGCTGCAACGTTTCCCTCTCACATGTGTTGATTACTCACAGTGCACTATGGATTCACTTTGTTAAAAGATCCGAAAGGGGAAACATTACAAAGTCGAGCAAATAAAGAGCACTTGTTCATTGTTAGATTTATTTACATTGTATTAATAAAGCTAACAAAAACAGCAAATGTAGATACATTTGAATGGCTTCTATCTGTAAAAGCTGCAGGAGCTTTTGAGATATATTAATAATAACAGTCATTAAGGGCAGGGCTTGTAAAAAGACAAAATAATGATAAGTCGTTACATAAGACCCCTCATACTTTTAAGTGTCTATATGCAATACGAACAGAAATGCACGCAAAGATGGACTCAATGCAATTTAAATGGTACATGGACTCATGCACACCTGTGGTGGAAAGCCAGAGAAAGATAATCGTGAAGTTTTTTTCACAAATCTCATCTCGTAAGCATCTCCCAACAAGACATGAACACATCGGATATCTTACAAATGTAAAAAAATGGGGAAAGTAAGATTTGTTTTAGTTGAAGATTTCTATTCATAATAATATGCACATACATTGAAAACAGTTTGTATTCTTTTAGGCAAAGCAGTAAAGCATTATACACATTATTTAACTATACAAGCATTCCTGTACAAAATATTCTCATCAAGGGGGACATGTAAAACACTTCATAATCTAATAGACCTACAGTAAGAATAAAAAAGGCTTCAGCTGTTACGAACTTTACACACTTTCAGAAAATGTCCATTTCGTTTAAAATATATATTTCATATATTAATGAAAACATCTGCAATCGATGGCGCTAGCATTGCTCTTCCAACAATCACCCCGGTTTCATTCACTTCTTAGCAAAAACAAGTCCAATGCCCATGATGAAACTTTTTGCTCTCTCCTTTCTAACCACAACATTGACGATACACGGCTTCGGCATGAGTTTATTAATACGCCTGCTTGTATATATGTGGCCGGAAGAGCACAGGTGAAGCAAGCATTTTGCCATGACACATTGCTGCAAAGTACGCAGGGGGAAAGCCAAAAAACAGCAAGTATCGATGGTGGTGCCATTGCGCGCTATGAATTTGGTTGACCATTAATCATTGTGTAAATCCATGTGAAATAAAATTCCCACGGTACCTATTCTCGCCTCCTGATTAATACATTAAAGTTATATACACAATCGACCTCGTATGCTTGCTCAACAAATTGTCTAAATTCGCAAGACGCTTCCATTTTGCCCTTGCAAACGGTGAACCGCCGCTGTTACGTGCGTCGTGTGCGCTGCAGAGCGGGATGTGCCAAACATTCATAAACTCTCGTGTTACAACGGGGATAGCGATTACCGATGTTCACAAAACTTGGGGTAATGATGGTTTAGTTACATCGGAAAACTTCATTATTGCTATATCATTGGGCACACTGAAAATATAGCTCTCCGACGTGTTCTCGGGTTGTTACCGGCGTGTCGTTCAGATTGATGTTCGTCATTTTGCTCCCAAATGCTAACGAAGCTCCCAGCACGTGGAGCGAAACGTCGGACCATAAGGTATGACCTGAAAACAGAGCCGTACAGTATAACTGCGAAAACTTATGCAGTAGTACACTGAAAAGATGCTTAAAACTGCAATTTCAAGGCAAGTTGGGAGGTTATTTAAAAACGGCATATCTGCGAAGTCGTTCATTGTTATTGTATTCAACAAATGCCTTGTGTGCAGTCTTAACACTTTCAACTGACAACAATACTGTGTATGCTGAAATTGCAGGAAAGCTGCCTTCAAAAATCAAAATTCAGACTTTAATTACAGGAGAGGTGGTCCATTACGAAGCCATATTACACAATTGAGGCCAATAAATGCAAGAGTCGAGGGCATGGGTAGCTTTTTTTTTAGACCAATAGGATCCACTATGCTGACGATTAAAATACATGCATTTTGTACACTCAGGTGTACTTTCCCAAAGACCATTTTTTGTGGTATTGTGTAGTGTGGTTTTCATAACTGTCTTCCAGTTAAAGAAAACACCCCCAGCGGCCGGGCTTGGATATTAAGTAATGCTCGCCCATTTGTCAGTTAAAACTCCTATTGTACGAGACTGAGGATTGTGTGATGCAATCAACCAACCTCCAGTGTACGATACAAAATAAACTACAACATGTACATACTTGCATGAACAGATACGTTTGCATCGTTATTTACCCTGTTTTAATATGGCTATTCGGTTCAACTGACATTTTAACAATCCATTAAAATTATTGCTTCTCTTACGATTCAGACATTGCGCTCACACAAAGCTGGCATAAGCTAAAGGTTTACTCGCGTCTTCTCACTATCCCGCTAATCACAATCCAATGAAAATGTTTCCCCTAACGAGTCGCACGCTTTGTAATTTCTCTCCGTTGTCCTACAGCAAGCATCCTTATTTGGTCTAAGAGTGTAAAAATATAGCAATATATCTGTTTTGGGCGATTTTTATTTACAGCACATTTAGCAGACTGGACACGCACAAAAAAAACTAAGGAACAAATTACAGGAAGTCATAGAAACGTAAGCAATGCGGGAAAGCATGAAGCATTCAGAGACGGAACAGGATTTAGTGCATTCGCTGGAAGGTGAGGGAGGGGTTGGTGGTGGTGGTGGTGTTGCTAGTCGGGGATTGGGCTGCCACTGGGAGTGATGCATCTTGGCCGAATCTCATCCAGCGTCGCAACTACATTCACACCATCGTCTACGTCTGCGGACTGCCCCTAGGAAGGGGGAGCAGTGCGGTAATCCCATGGCTTCTTTTCAAGCTTTCTATTCCACCTCACGAGGTCACCCTGCCAGCAAATGACCACTCTCTGCATCGACCGTTCGAGTCCTTTTTATAACCAGGCGAGCACCCGTCGAGATAAAATTATTTTTTTGCGAGGGTATGCTCCGGGGTTAAAAATTGTTCCAATTTTTTTTGCAGGCCGTAATAAAGCCTTCCCTGCATGTCCTGAGTTCGTCCTTTTGCTCGGCTTCTCTGTGCCGTCAATAAAACGTTTGTGTCCCATTTCATGGGACATGCCGCAGTACGGGCGACGCTGCGCCATTCGTTCACACTTCACAACGACGTCTCAAGTCGGATCTCCATCCCAAGCTGGCAGACAAGTATGGCTTTTCATGATTTAACAGTCCGCAGCTTGCAGTTTGAAACTTATGAAAATAGTACGCATCAAGAAATGGAGATGCTACTTTTCTTTTTGCAAATGAGCAAACACCGTAATAGGCCATGTAGTGCAGCACGTGAGCACAAATCACTCCGTTGGGGGGGTTGGTTTTTTTTGCGTCGAAGTAACATCTCTGTACCGCGTAGCTGGAAGCATTCTTGGATACGATGAGAAAAAGAGCACGATGCAAAAAAAAAACACGGCAACTATGCAACTTTGCTTCCTTGGGTTTTGAGAGGAGAGGTGGTTGCGGGCGAGGCTGTAGGCGCAGTACACGGCAGAGGAGCGGGACGCAACTCGCTCGGCGCAGCGGATCTAGACCGGCGCAGCGGATTTAGATCCCCGCGACGACTGCGGCCGGAAGAATTGCGCGGCTCCTTCGGCGTCCACGCGCGGAACAGAGGACGAGGTAGGAGCAGGGGAAGAAGTCACTCCATGAGCAGCTGCTGCAGCAGGGAGTTGCGCTGCGTCTGCGCGTTGTTCGCGTCCTCCGCTGCCCCCTCCTTGGCCGGCGCGGCTCCGGCCGTCTGGTTGCCCTGGTTCAGGTAGGAGTTGCTGCCGAGCACGTTCACGGTGCACTGCACGTCCGCAAACACTTGCACCTGCTGCACCTGTTTTGATCGCGCGCACGCCACAGGCAGGCCCCAAGGCAGGGGGTTGGTGCTGGCCAGTCTCGATTATTCTCCAACGGTTTCCCCCCCCCCCCCCCCCCCCCCGTGGCTTTTCAAATAAACTTTTAAAAAATCCGCTTTAGCAGTATAATAGTTACACCAGTTTGCCGATCGGCAGGTCGTGTGGGGGTTAGAGCAAGCTATAGTGTGTACTCCCATCCCTTCCGATGTCTGACCAGCATTGAAAAATAGGTCAAAAAAGGCTCTAGAGCTCCCTTTATTGAAGGACCTTCTGCCAGCATTGGCGTGAGCGAGCACTTGCAGGGCTGCACCTTTACCTTAGCTTTACATTTCTGAGGAGTTGGTGTAAATGTTGAGTGGTACTAACCCCACCCTCATCATGTACATGTACACCCCTAATGTCAATCCACTGCTGGATGAAGGTCTCCCCACGTTTCCGTGGGGGTTATCAAACCACACCGCACTGGTCAGTGTGGATTGAACAGGGGAGCATAAACGTGGGTGCATAGAAGTACAGTACAATAATGGCTTTAGCCATGCTGCCCTCTGTTCACTACGCACCAATAGCCCAGTGCCACCAATAGGAACATTGCCCACTGCTCGTTTGAATGCAGCCACACCTGGCATTTTTCAATTATTACACCCATAAACCGTGAACATGCAGCATCGACGTTCGCTATTTCTACCCACAAGGAACTCGTCAACCCCAGCCTCTGTGCCAGTTCTCGTCTCTGGTTGCTAATCGTCATGACGACGAGGAGAGCAGTTCACGGTGCATTTCAACTTCACTGCTGCTGTTCTTTGTGAAACACTCTCGCAATGAACGGTAATGGAAATATTACCTTTTCAGCTTCAGACATGGCAGCAAACTGGTCGTAGCGCGTGTGACCATCTTGGCTCATGCTCTGCCTCATTATACCTCCCTGTTTGAAGAGACAAAGTAAATCTCGTGTCAACCCTTCACAAACAAAGTCGTACGCATTTAACAGGGTAAAAAACACCTCACCACTTTCATAATTAACAATACCTTATAAGAGTGCAGAAAAAAAATCGTTGTTCTCCGATACATCTATACTCCCGTGTCTATCCTCCCTGTCTTCACTAGCCTGCTCTGCCCAGCGTGGTGAAATTTGTTGGATTGCTAAAGGGCTGTTAATTACATATGTATTATAATACAAAACTACATATCGCGCAAACCTGTTGGGATTCAAAGAGCGGTCACTGCCCAAAACATACTAATAATAAATTACAGCCCTGTCGATCTACTGCTTGCTGATGGGTGTTATTAAACCATACCTCACCACACGCTGGTCTGTCAACAGTTTCACAATCACACGAAACTTAATGCACAATCACCATCCAAATGCGGGTGAATAAGTCAGACAATCTGAGTACGTCCAACACTGCAGCTATTTTATGAGCAAATTATTTCCATCTGAATTGTAGCCCGAATGCATTGACAAAACCACGCGCAAGTTAAATGCTTTTTCATCACGACACTAACGATTACTTATATCGTCAGCTTAGCATGGTTGGCATCGGCCTTGGTTCAAGGAATGAAACGGAGCCCCCCCTGGTCCAAATTTCACTCCCCACCCGACCTCAATGCAGCCCAGCGCCTGGGCCCCTACAGCTTGTGGGCCCCCAGTGCAGTTGCACCGCCTGCACACTCGATTGCTAGGCCTCCGACGAACTGCTCCAAGAAGACTGTGTTTGTAAAAAGAAGGCTACCCGGGGTTTGTCAGCCGTACCTGCTCAGTGGGCATGGGCATAGGTCCGGGGCCCATGCTCATTTGTCCGTTGCCACAGGTGGTGCTGGCAGAGCCGGTCGTCATGGAGACAGAGATGCTCATGTTGTTGTAGAGGCTGGAGTCGCCCTCCTGCCCAAAGGGCTGCTGCGTAGGCGGGAACACCCCGCTGCAGAGGCGGCGGTCAGGGCAGTGGTGGGGGGCAACACAACAGAGGCCTCAACATCCTGTGCTCACAATGTAACCTGCAACCACCACCAGCAGCAGCAGCGCTGGGTGTCTTTTTAACAAAAAATTACTTTGTTCCGATTTCTCATTGCTAGAGATTTCAGAAGGAATGTAACATCATCTCGTATTTGGTGTTTTCAAAGAAATATAATTTTAAATAATATAATTAGGATAGGCTGATGACCAAATTGTCTGGGAAAGCACCCGCGCTCTCATCAAATCTTGGGACACTAAGCAGGGCAGAGTCTTGATAAGAGCTTTGATGGGCCACCACCACCTTGCTCGGATTGTTACATGGCTTGCGAGGCTTTGTGGTCGGCAGTAGAGGCAGTGGAGGAAATACATCGCTGCACTGCACTTCTATGCTGCCATGTCTATGCTGCCCACCTCACCAACCCTCACTGACCAGCATGGTGAAGTGTGGTCAAATAACCCCCATGACCCGCACGCCGTGGGGAGGCCCTCATCCAGCAGTAAACTGACAAAAGGGCTGAAAAATGTACATAAACACAATATCAGCTTAAAAGTTTTACAACTAAAATTGGCCGCCAAAATACCCATTTTTTTTTTGCTATGCCTTCCAACTAAGGGTGAAAGCGTTAATGCATTCGCTCTCTCCGTCTGTAGTGAGGTCGCGCCATCATCCCCGTAGAGAAGAGCCAGTATTCATATATCCATCCAATGCACACAAAACTTTAGGATCAAGTTCTGTCGCTGTTCGGGACTGAGGCATTTGGCCTAAGGGTGTATTAAAACTGCGCTTGAAGGATAATCCATAGTCGACCAAGACAATTTCCACGTGGCATCATCACGTCGTGCGACTGGAGGCGGGGGGAGTTGCAGGCGGTATAACGTTATTACCCCTAATTCAACACTTTTGAGGACAAAGGCTTGTTGGAAATTCGGTATCATATTTTTTTATATTAATTATCCAGACGTCGCCATTCACCTGTTGTTGTTGTTGTTGGTGAGGCCACCCTGCTGCCAGGGCCCCAGCTCCGGGGTGGTGGGCAGGCTCGGAGACTGCGGCATCCGTGCCCTCATGCGACCCCCGGGTGCGGTTTGGGAGCTGAACCCGGGCTCGCACGTCTGGCTCATGGCTGCTTGCGATGTCCACGGTGGGGGGGGGGGGAGGTGGAGATCAGGGCGGGGGATATTGTGGCGACACAAAGTTTTAAAAAATTAAGTCAAATTTAACAGACGATCGCATTTAAATTTTGATTTAAAGCTTTCGTGACTGCAGTAATTCATATTCTTAGTTTTTTCGGTAAAGTCACGTTGAAGAGAAACAACAAAATAATAAAATATATATAAAACAATAACAAATTCTCACGACGTTTCGACCATAACTCAAACGGTCATCTTCAGGTGTGTTGGTTTGCATGTTTTACGGATCGAAAATTAAAGCGAAGCTTGTGACGTTTTGCTGAGAATGTCGTACGGTATTTACACAGCCGTGTGGCTGTTGCAATGGCGCATCAACGTGCGCCAGCACACGTCCACTCACAAGGTTGGAGCACAGTTTTGTCAACGTTGTTACCGTATTCTTGGTTCTTTCGGTATTATTTCCCTTCTACGTGACTTTACCGAAAGAACCAAGAATATGAATCCCTGCAGTCACGAAAGCTTTAAATATAAATTGTTACCATAGTTTGTCATCGAATATACATTTTACTCTTAGTTAACGTACTTAAAATAGAAGTCAGATAAACCATACACGTTTCAGTTCAATATCATGAACAGGACCTATAAAACACACAATAATAATAATAAGGATGCTTCCAAAATTCAATACTCGACCGCAAGCTTGGACGCATATTGATAGCCCTGCCGTGCACGCACCTGATCGCGGGAACTGGAACACATTCTGCTGCATCTGCTGCCCAAACTCTCGTCCCGTGGGGCTGCCCGCCGGGATTCCCATCATGCCTCTGTTCACAGCGGCCGCCCCTCTTCCCATGCCCCCAGGAAACATGGTGGCACTGGATGCCCTGGGAGATGTTGGGTAGGGTAGATACTGCTGCTGCTGTTGTTGCTGCTGCTGTTGTTGCTGTTGTTGCTGCTGCTGTTGTTGCTGCTGTTGTTGCTGCTGTTGTTGCTGCTGCTGTTGTTGCTGCTGCTGTTGTTGCTGCTGCTGTTGTTGCTGCTGCTGTTGCTGTTGCAGCTGGGGCTGTGGTTGTTGTTGAGGCTGGGGCTGGGTCTGGGGTTGAGGCTGTTGCTGAGTCTGCGTCTGCGGTTGTTGCTGCTGCTGCCCCTGGGGAGGCATCCGGGGCATGCCCATCATGCCCCCAGGGCCCGGAGGATATCCTTGCTGCTGCTGCCGTATCATCATGGCGCGCTGCTGGTGTTGCATCATCTGCCGGTGCCGACTGATGAGCTCTCTCTGCCGTTGGGCCAGCATCTGCGCGTTTAACGGAGGCTGCTGCTAAAGACGGTAGAGAGAAATAAAAACGGTTAAATATCCCCATTGCGCACACAGCCTCCCGCTCTCCACGCGAAAGCCTGCGTAGAATTTAAAGCATTAATACAGAACAATTATTTTCTCCTAACCAAATTTTATGAATATGATAACACGGTTGGCTGCGTACGGTGCGAAAGAAGTTCAACATACATGCGTATACATTCATACAAATGAAAGGACTGTGGCGATAATGCAATTATGTCATGTGCAAATGGAACCGAGTGCTACAATAAGAAGATGAAAGCCACGCATTTGATGACTGCGCTAATTGTGGACATGGAAACAAAGGAAACTGCTGTGAAAGTGCACGTTCATAAACACTTCCCAGTTTTAGGACCCAGAAGGCACTCGGAAAAAAACGAGATGGCAGCACCTTGCCTTTGGTTTGCAATGAATTAAACAACAAATGCTTGGTATTTACGGCTCTGGCCACCAGGTAGCTGGATTTATTTGTGAGAAAAAAGGTTTGCACCACTTTTCGGTAGAGGGCAAAATTTGTATAAGAATAGTGATTCAAAGAATCTTCCACCAACTTATTGGTGGAAATGGGTTTTGCGACAACATTAATTAGGAACTGAAGTCAAATACAGAGGCGAGCCCTCTGGTTAAAATGTAACCGACAAAAAAGCCGGGTTTAATGTCTACAAATGTTTGTAATATACACATCAAATATCAAATTGTCATTCATGTTTTAAAATTTTGGATGTGCTAATATTGTACGTGAAGGATGCATTTTGCAATATATTAAAATAACAAATTACATAAAAGTAATATTTCATAGCCATTTGTCAATCCAATGCTTGGTGAAGGCTTCCCCTACGCTGTGTTAGTCATGGGGGTTGTTTGACCATATTTCACCATGGTGGTCACTGCGGGTTTGTCAAGGGGGCGAGCAAGCAGAACTGATTCGGATATCATTTGCCAATGATGTTGGGAATCAATCTCAGGTTTCCATATTCATGAAGCTGTGTCCTAACCACAGCACTAACTGCTCCCCAGTAAGGTTACTCGAATAAAGCTACCGAATTTCATAATTTAACAATGCCCTTTTTTTTCTAGGAATCACCGAGTTGAAGGAGTATCCGACCACACCACGTGGGATGTTTTATCCAGTTCCTTTTAGTTAATGAGCGTTTCGTGTGCAATAGGAAACCTGAATAAAATCCACGCATAAGAAGGGATATACCAGGCATGTCACAAACCCACTTGCTATACCGCTACCCAGCATGTTTCATAGTGACTCCTTAGACTGACTTCACTAACTCGTCTCCGAAACGCTGGATTGCAGGCGTGTGGGTGCCACAACATATGGCCGTTCACATAGCAACGTGAACGTATATATGTTGAACTTATTTTGCACTGTACATAGCCAACTGTGCTAATTGGAGGCTGCGGCGGGGGGGGGGACAACAAACTAAACACGAAAAGCAGTTCAAGAAATTACTTTTCAATTTAGATTTAAATGGCTTCGGAATATTACCCTGCAACCGCGCTATCCACACGCTTCGATCTGGTGTGAACCCCCCCACCCTCCCCCACCGTGAGTGAGTGCACGGGCGGAGGTGGCAGAGTGGCACGTACCTGGCCCGTCATCTGAGGAGTGACGCTGGCACGTAACTGGGGATTGGGCACCGCGCCGTACGGCCCCATCATCGCCTGCCGGTTCTGGTTCATCATCTATGGCGGAAGGGACGACGCACGGTCGGTTAGAATCCACCAGCTGAGGTTCAGATACCTCTTCGTTGGGAGCCAATAACGGGCAATGAAGGTCAAGGGGAATGTAAAAATACCGAAGTAAAATCCGTAACGATCGTTGGTAGGAATTCCTGACCTCAACGCCAAACTGTGAGCAGCTATAGCATTCCAAATAAGAAATAGAAACTTTGGAAAATGAACTTTCGTCACAAGAGAGTGACCCCCCTCTTCCTCGTTGGCAAAGTGAATAGGTGATCGCGGTGGCGAGGCCTCGTGGACAGGGCACCCCTCTGCTGGTAGAGGAGTCGCATTTCTCTACATCCTCTGTGCAGACGACAACTTCCACCGCGGGAAGATGTTAACTGTATGGCATTGGCAATCATTAAAAAATATATATAAACGTCATAAATTGGCCAAAACATTTAAAAATGGAAAAGTGACAAAAGCTAATGTTATTATAGATGTGAATTGTGCAAGACGGATATATGTGTATGTATAATTTATTATTATTATTTTATTATCAATATAATTCATTGCCAAATAGAAGTGAGGAGGCTGTGAATCTGAAGACTCACAACGCAAAGTTGGGGCACACCAGCCTATATTTTATGATAAACGAGACGTCTCAACGACAGAAAAGGGTGTCGCAGTCTTCATCAGTCTAAAATATCCCACAGTCACGATGGGTTCAAACACGAGACACGTGGGAGGTGGTACAAGGGAGCAAAGGCATGTAAACGACCAAGAATACATTTGCGCTGACACCATGGATGTCAAGTATTTTTCCTGTGCGCCACACAGAGCTCTCGGCCTGCCAATGGCCCACAGGGTTACTTGCATGACCATTCAGACTGTGTGGCAAGTAGAACGCACGTATGTACTGGGGGAGTGACGCATGGCTCCAATTTAGTGCAAGAATGCTTCTTCAGTCCGCGGGTCTTTCGGAACACTTGACACCGCTATTGCACTATTGCCCTTAGGGCCTCATTACCCCAAAGTAGTAACGACTGCACGCAATGTGGTGCACGCAATGACACTTCCTGCATTTGCATGCAATACTCCACTCTGACACTGCCACACTACGGAGCACGGTGCGAATTTTTTTCTTGTGTATGGCTGTCATCAAGGTCAACCACTTTTGTCTATCCAGTGCCGATATGAACACATCACGGTCGGTACTCCATATATGTCGAGTCACATAAGAGAAGCCCAGGTTTCGAACAGAGCAGTGCTCAACACTATGCTACTGCTTTAGCCCGTACACAAAGACAACAAAGATCACCCCTATAGCCTGAACAAACTGTTGGGGCAAGTGGTGTTAAGTGAGCACTTATGAAGACCGGGGGACGGCACATGAGGGGGTGGGTGGCCGACACCACGCCCGGCCGCCTTTGTCTCCCTAGTGGCGATGTTTACACATCGGACTAGGTACGCATTTAAGGCTGAGTCGACCTAGGGGAGGCCCAGGACCAGTTCAAATATTCACCACTGTTACTGATCGTGATCGGGAGCGAGAATCGAACTCGGGTCCCTGGGTTCATAGCGCAGCGCGCTAACCATAGCGTCACACACACACACGCATACCTGCTGCTGAGCCTGCAGCCTCTGCTGAAGCTGCATGCGGAGCTGCACGTTGGCGTTGGGCTGCCCCGGCGGTAACGGCGCCCTGCTGCCCACCATGCGCAGCTGGGCAGCGTTGGCGCCCGGGTGGGGGCCCCTCATCGACGAGGCCCCTATGTAGCCAGCCATGGTGGCTGGACCGGCCATGCGGGGGCTCTGCGGGGGGTAGCCGGCTGGCTGGGCCCCGAACGGCTGACCGGCGGCCGCAGCAGCAGCGGCCGCCGCGTACATGGCCTTGGCCTTCTGGTCCAGGCTCATCACCATCTCCATGGGGAGGCCGCTGCTGCCGCCACCCTTGAGCTGCTGGTTCGGCAGCAGATCCAAGATTCCACTCTGCTGGAGTAAAGATGGGAAAAGAGAAAAGCCAAAAGCACGCAACAAATAATAATTGTTAAGTCTTTTGTCGTTTTATTAGGACTGAGAAACCAGTTATGAGGATCCGTTGAAATGTTGAGAAAGCATTGTTTCTACGAAGGGCTGCGCAAGGGATGCCAATTCGGTGCTATTCGCTGCCAGATTCTCGGTCAAAATGTCTTCACCGAGGTCAGTGAAACCCCAATAATACTGGTTTGGCAAAGCTGTCAGCATTTCCATGTGTGCGCTGTACTAGCCAACGGTCTGTTGCATTCAATTCCACAGATGGAATTGATATTCTAGGAAGTTATAACCGAAGACAAATAATAATTGCGTAACGTGCTCGATACAATGTGGCACGGGTTAACTGGTAATGTTAAACATTAACACTGCTTTTGATGTAGTGTACTATGCTCCAACGTCTATGCTCCCTACCTTCACCAACCCTGACCAGTGTGGTAAAGTAGTCAAGTAACCCCCACAATCCACATGCCGCGTGGAAGACCCTCATCCAGCAGCGGATTTACAAACAGGCGATACAGGTGCTATTTTCGCACACATAATCAGCACCTGGACACTATCTGCACCTCAAAACAAAAAAAAACCCCTCTGCTTAACCAAAGTAATAAACAAGCCAGGCTAATTTTTTCTTTTGGCTGTAAGTCAGTGTTAAGAAAAAAAATTGGACAGAACAACCACTGGTCACCTCCCACAGTGATGCTGGCTTATTTTAATGTTCCTGGAGGAATTCCTAAGATATGACATTTCACTATATATATAAAAAAAACATGAGAGAAGCAACCACAACCACAGTCTAAAGACGATATTTCTATTCTTGCAATCTTCAATTCTGCAATCTTAAATTGTTAATCCATTAACGCGATGGAGGGCAAAAGATGGTGTGTCAAGTATCTGCTTTCATAAAACTTGTATCGAAAACTGGAGGTGAATGAATCTGTAATAAAATACGTATTCCTTACACTGTCACGGAGACGAATGGCAGGGCTTGACATCCAGCCAAATATTTTCCTGAAGAAAAGGGCGCTACAGCCAATGTAAAATATCAACATTTTGGCCAACTAGCCTTTGATCCAGATGGTGAAGACAAAGTCGTGGAGGAAGCCCTCTTGCTCACACCACTGCTGGCAGAAGGGCCTCCACTTGAAGGAGCTCTGTAGAGCCCCTAGAAGAAGTATTAACCTCTAACGTTATGTCAGATAGCGTTAACCGAGTATGCTTTACTTTTTATTTAAACAGGTAAAGCCCACTGAGCTATGTAGCTCTTTTTCAAAAGCGACCTGGCTATCACAAATTATATCTCAATGCAGTGGCTTGTCACGTGGATATTTATAGCAGCCAAATACACTGAAACGCGCGTTGATCTATATGTGGAGGGAAAAACCGGAGGACCCGGAGAAATATCCACGCGACCACGAGGAGAACATGCATACTCCAAATATACAGGCGTCAAGGTCAAAATCTAACCCACAACCTCATACATACCAGGCGAGGTAGTTAACACATCTTGCCACTGTAGCGCACCAGTATCAACATTTTCCAATTTTGCCATGGAATATTACTTTTACTTTCAATACAATTTTGATTTATATCCCGCCCAAATCCTGCATTTAGGACACTGTAGAGAAACACGAGGCGTGTTTATTTTAGGACACTGTAGAGAAACACGAGGCTTGTTTATTTCATTGAGGAAAAAGGAGCAGTCGGTGCCTTGAGCCAGGACTTGAACAGGGGCAGGAAATCAAGACCCTCGTGGTGGCTGGGGAAAGTGAGTTCCAGACAGTGAGCGCAGCAGAGGAGAACGAGCGACCCCCCCCCCCCACGAAGCGAAGGTTGATTAGGGCTTTGGTAGAAAGCCGTGATTGCTCGTGCGGGGGGGGGGGATGCTTGGAAGGCAAGTGGAGTGAGATGATAAGGGAGTAGCAGAAGAGTGTGGAAGGGAGTGGAGTGCTTCGATTTAAAGCTTTCGTGACTGCAAGGATTCATCTTCTTTGGTTCTTTCGGTAAAGTCACGTAGAATGAGAATAAAATAATAAATTGATAAAATAAAATAACACAATAATATTCTCGCGACGTTTCGGCCACAACACAAGCGGCCTTCATCAGGTGAAGGGACGAGACTGTCTGGTAGGACAGCGCTGGGGTGAAAAAGCCACGCTCAGATCACGACCTTTAAGCTTAAGGCCGCTTGTGTTGTGGCCGAAACGTCGTGAGAATATTGTGTTATTTTATTTTATCAATTTATTATTTTATTCTCATTCTACGTGACTTTACCGAAAGAACCAAAGAAGGAGTGGAGTGCGTCGAGCTAGGAGAATACGTGGAGTGGAGCGGAGTGTGACGAAAACCGAGCAGGGGTGAGTCCATGCAGGATCTCGAAGATAGTATGATCATGAAATTTGAATCAATATACACGTGATCTGATCTAGTAAACGCTTGTTCCAATAAGCTCTTGAATTTTCCCTGGGTGATTTATTTGTGCTTATGAAAACAAAACAAATCTTTACATGTGTGTCGTTTATATCAATATCTGCTCCTCACTCTTCGAGGGTCAGAATGGGTGCCAGTATGACTGCACACACATCAAAAAGTGCACCGATTACTTTGAGAATACTGTACAATCGGACGATACAATCTACATTCGAACCCGAATTCTACACTGGTTGGTAACTATACGTTTTACATATGTTTTGCCTTTTCAGTGTTTTTTTTTTAAATCTGGGCCGCACCTCCCTGCCGTTGTCACCGATAATGAATCCATAGTTTCTTCAGTAAATGGGCTGCACTGTCGAGTGCACTTCAACCTCACGCTGCTTGCCAAACTAATACAATATAAGGTCGCACTCGCCCAACGAAGATCCCCCGTATAGCCTTAACAGACTGTTGGGTCCAGTGCTGTTAGCGAGCACCTATGAAGGCCGGCACGGCACAAGAGGTGGTTGGGTGGCCAGCACCCCGCCTGGTTTGTCTCGTACGTATGTATGTTTGAACTTCTTTTGCACCATACTAGCCAACCGTGCTTATTTCGAGGTCTGTGTCTTCCCAGTGGCGATGTTTACGCACTGCATCAGGTACTCAGTTCAGGCCGAGTTGCCCTAGGAGAGACTCAGAACCCGTTCAAATAGTCAATGATTGTTGGCCGTGAACGGAAATTTAACTCGGTTCTCTAGGGTTTAACGCTACACTACCGCTCCCCATAAGCCACACCCACACTCACCCCCCACACACAAGCTAAACGCTTTCACCCACACTCACCCACATGGGTTACACGCTCTCACACACACAAACACCTGTACGGGCTACACACACACTCACCCACCCACAGGAGCTACGCACACTCACCCACCCACAGGAGTTACATACTCACCCACCCACAGGAGCTACACACTCTCACTCACCCACCCACAGGAGCTACACACTCTCACTCACCCACCCACAGGAGCTACACACTCTCACTCACCCACCCACAGGAGCTACACACTCTCACCCACCCACAGGAGCTACACACTCTCACTCACCCACCCACAGGAGCTACACACTCTCACTCACCCACCCACAGGAGCTACACACTCTCACTCACCCACCCACAGGAGCTACACATTCTCACTCACCCACCCACAGGAGCTACACACTCTCACCCACCCACAAGAGCTACACACTCTCACTCACCCACCCACAGGAGCTACACACTCTCACTCACCCACCCACAGGAGCTACACACTCTCACTCACCCACCCACAGGAGCTACACACTCTCACTCACCCACCCACAGGAGCTACACACTCTCACTCACCCACCCACAGGAGCTACACACTCTCACTCACCCACCCACAGGAGCTACACACTCTCACTCACCCACCCACAGGAGCTACACACTCTCACTCACCCACCCACAGGAGCTACACACTCTCACTCACCCACCCACAGGAGCTACACACTCTCACTCACCCACCCACAGGAGCTACACACTCTCACTCACCCACCCACAAGAGCTACACACTCTCACTCACCCACCCACAGGAGCTACACACTCACCCACCCACAGGAGCTACACACTCTCACCCACCCACAGGAGCTACACACTCTCACTCACCCACCCACAGGAGCTACACACTCTCACTCACTCACCCACCCACCCACCCACAGGAGCTACACACACACTCTCACTCACCCACCCACAGGAGCTACACACTCACCCACCCACAGGAGCTACACACTCTCACTCACCCACCCACAGGAGCTACACACTCTCACCCACCCACCCACAGGAGCTACACACTCTCACCCACCCACCCACAAGAGCTACACACACAGGAGCTACACACACACACTCACCCACCCACCCACAGGAGCTACACACACTCACCCACCCACAGGAGCTACACACTCTCACTCACTCACCCACCCACAGGAGCTACACACACACAATCACCAGTACAGGCTACACACACACACACATATCCACCCACCCACAGGAGCTACACACACACACACTCTCACTCACCCACCCACAAGAGCTACACACACAGGAGCTACACACACACACACTCTCACTCACCCACCCACCCACAGGAGCTACACACACACACACACTCACCCACCCACCCACAGGAGCTACACACACACACACTCTCACCTGCACGAGTTTGTCAATGCCCAGAGCACGGTCGATCTCGGCCAGGTCCACCTCGTCAGTGCTGCTCAGCAGCGAGTCCAGCTGGTCCAGCAGCGCCTTCTCATTGTTTTGCGCCTCCAGGCTCGTGGGCGGGCACAGCAGCTCATCCAGCGACGGCGTGAATGCTTGCCTGCAGCAATGAGACGAAATTATCATCAGGAACTCTTGACGAATCAGTGGAATGGTTCAAGTACTGAACTACATTTTATGTTTTAGGTTTTATTGCAGAGTTAATTGTGACTGGGATGAGACCCTCAACCCAATTACACATGAACACCCCATTATACAAATTTTGCTGCGTGCCGAGTAACAGTTTGGATTTGAACCCAGAAACCTCAGTGACGTTGCCGCAACGATCCAACACGGGCATTGTGAGCTCATCTCAACAACCTTAGGGTCGCACCTTTTAAAAAAAAATAACCTAACACGTTTTCCAAAGGCAACTCATTATTTATTTACAAACACTATGGTGGTGGCTAAAAATTAACAAACTGCCCTGCACATGTTACAGTAAAACAAAAACAGGCAGCGGTAGCGAATGCAATTGTGGTGGAGGGGGAGGGAATGAGGGGTGGGAGCCAACGTGGGATCGTCGGGAGGGGAGGGGGGAGACAATCGCTATTGGATTCAAGACGTGCATGCCTTTGGCTGCATGAGCGATGAAACGAGCACCTGCTGCTTCTGCCGCTGCAGACATTGGTGCTGCTAGGGAGGGGAGAAGCTGAAGGTTGTGACTCTGGCTTCTAAGCTGTACCCCCCCCCCCCCCCATGCACAATACCAATTTCACACGACCTTTATTCTTCCCACCCACTCCCACCGGTGGCCCCATCAAGCCACTTCACAGTGGGCCCCGCTGTGCAATCTACCGACTTTTCTACGAGGCTCAAATGCACTCCTGCATAAAAGAAGCCACGCTCGGTGGCCAGCGGGTACATATATCGGTGGAAGGAGGACAAGGGCAGGAGGGGGGGGGTAAGCGGGGAAGGGAATGTAAACCAGTTTATAATCTTAATAATGATCAGGTAACATAAAGGTTGATTTTTTTTCTCCCTTGAGTGAGACCTAGTCCCATCGAGTCTATGATGCACCAGCACAGCTGAATACAGCGATTATTATTATTTTCTTCACAACCCCATTGTCGATCAACTGCTATATTAAGGCCTACTCAAGCCACAATGGTCATGGGGATTGCTTAAAATACTTCACCATGCCGGTCAGTATGGGTTGGTGAAACAGTGCGGGAGGGGCACAAGGAGAATAGATTCAGATATCAACTCGCCGCTGATGTAATCCGTGGCCGGGAATAGAACTCGGGATTGCGGGGTTCACCGCGCAGTGCAGCTCACCACTGCGCCACAGTTATAAATTATGAAGGTGTAAATGCCCGGGAAAAAGGAGTGAATAATAGATGTGCACACTTCATTAGACCTCCTTTGCCAGTATCAAAATGTAATAATAGGGTTTTTCCCCTTTTTTCTGGAAACAAAACTGAAACCTTTTTACAAGGATTCATGTCTGCATTAACCACAATACCTGCAGTCAAAATGCAAAAAAAAACATACTATGATAATATATGCATTGTCCTTGAAACTGATGGGTCCACACCAAGGGACGGCTTTCTTTTAAAGAAAGATTGGTCCACACCAAGGGACGGCTTTCTTTAAAAGAAAGCCGTCCCTTGGTGTGGACCAATCAGTTTCAAGGACAATGCATATATTATCATAGTATGTTTTTTGTTTGCATTTTGACTGCAGGTATTGTGGTTAATGCAGACATGAATCCTCGTAAAAAGGTTTTAGTTTTGTTGCCAGAAAAAAGGGGAAAAACCCTATTATTAGATGTGCACACTGGTTCCTACGACTTCTCCAGACGGGGACTCTTGCATCGTGAGACCGTGGCAAATGGCGACGACTTGCGGAGGCCTTCATTGAGCAGTGGCCAAACCACGGATAATGATGATGCTGAAGAGATGGACTCTGTTATCTGCGTGTGTGATACGGTGGTGTGGACCGGTGATCACACACAATCTGCAGCGTTATAAAGTGGCCAGGTGTTGGTCGTACAGCAGGGAGGTTGCCGATATGAACATATTGTTTTCGTGCCATTTATTCATGTGTGGTTTTCTCCGTACTTTATTTTCCTCACAATTTGCAATAATAACTATGACACATTTGGCTATATATTCTCGCGCAAGAACCTCCTGCGATAGGTCTTGAGACTCGGCCTGACTTTGTGAAACAAATAAGCAGGGCATAAAAGACAGGGGGTCGGCAACCAAAATAACAATAGTAATTAATTTTTTCGAATTCGGTAAAAAAATAAAACTCAATATTTCCAGAGCGACAATACAATGTAAATACGAGACGGTGGCACGTTAAAAAATATTTCACAAGTCCCGAGAGAGCCGCATGCGGCTCCGGAACTGCAGGTTGCGGACCCCTTGTTCAGAGTATTAGTTTTGCTCACCTGTTTGCATCTGCCATTGACCCCTGTTCCAATCCCATCATGCTGTCACCGTAAGGAGGCATCTGATTGGACGCTGGCTGCTGGCCATAGGGGGAGTTATTCAAGCCCAGCTCCATCTCGGAGGGAACTGCAGGGACACACAACAGCCAAAGAGAGAAGTTTCAGAAGCCAGCACGGACATTTACAAAGCACCCTCACACGTAGCAATCGCATCCAAACAACGTACGCATTCGCGATCAAGTTGTTTTGGATTAGATCGCGTACATGTACATGTGTCGTACACCCACCTCCACCCGACAGAGCCAAGGTTTGTACATGCCAATGTGTTACTAGTTTAGCACACTGGGGTGGCCTCAAGAGAAAACTCACAACAGTTACAATATATGCTCTCTAACATTCACATGATCTAACCTAAAAAATATGTTGTCATGAATAATATTGGTCGTGGAAGCCTACGTGATGGATTCGCACACAATACAGAAAAAAATGGATGTTAACATTTAATGCTGCACAATAGAAGCCATGCGTTTTTCTTCAAAGGTTCAAAACAGCATTTCAATATCAAGGCAACATTACCAATTTTGCAAATGTCAGAATAAAAAGGCATCTGCCAAAATGTATTCTCTATGTTAGGGCCAAGATACTCACATTCACAAGACCCAATTTTACTGCAGCCAAGATGATGCACAATACAAACATCTGTGACAGTTGTAATATATTAACTGCAATACAGTCTTCGTGCACTTTCAGATGCACTTCTGCGGCCATCTGGAACGCTGTCTTCCTTCCGACATTAGGAAGCCACTGGAGCTATGCACTTTTAAATCTAAATTGAGTTTCTTATCCTGCTCACACACCTCCGACGAGCATGGTTGGCTATGTACGGTGCAAAATAAGTTCAACATACAATGCAGGAGGAATATGTCGTAATAATTGAAGGTTTTCAATCATACAATATTAGAGTGTATAAAACTTGATTCATAGTGGATCTACTGAACACATGGAAAGACTGGCCTTGAGCATCATCAATTGCCACGATCTATCCACTGCTGCATGAAGATCCTCTCCACATCGTCAATATCCCTCATATGGTATTGCGATGCTGCAGTTCATCTGGCTCCAACACAGGCGCTGATCCCAGCTCATTAGAAGGGATGATTGTGGCTGTCATCCCTTTGAGCCCTGTGCCCTGCCTAAGCCCATTTACCTTCATGATCACTCCATACAATGTGTCGAGTATGAGTTTGTTTTCTGATCGGTTGTTCCTCTTCATTGTTGTTCAGTGTAATTGATACTTATTTAGTAGGCAACATGGACTGATTGAGTCGGACCGTTACATTGTTTTTCATGATCAAATAAAAATTTCCAAACAAACTCCAACCTACTCTCACTCACCTCCCTTGCATCATTTTTATATTGGCTTGCTATCAATAATTTTCCGCAGATTTACAATTTATGCATACACAATTCGTTAGGTTTTCCAGTTGGGTCTCGGCCCTCCAAAAATTATTTTATTTGGTTCATCAAATCTGCTTTACTTGACAATTTCTTCCAACTTTCCAGCTTTGTTTGTGATGTTCTTCAATCGTTCCCCGTCATTAATTTCCATTGGTCACTACAATGAGTATGGTGCCAGCAATTCTGAGATGGATGATTACTTCATTTATATTCATGCCTTTATTTCTTCAATCATAATTTCAGAAAACGCCTTCCATGAATGTCTTAGTGAAAGCATATCTCTTCACATGACTAGAGGGTTGTGGATTTTACACCACTGCCTCAGGACCGTCAGTGACAGGGCAACGCGTTTGACCTTGACTTATCGTACTAATCACGCAGCAAGGTATTAACACAGCCATGAGCAGCTTAATTTCAGTCGAGTCTGTCTAGGTCGGCAACGTTAATTAGAATCCGCACCCGGCACGGCACACCGCATCCAGTATACATCTCGCATTGGCTGTGACTACTTGTCACATGGCTACTTCAAACCATCAGTGACCCAGAAAATGCATTCAGTCTTAAATTAAAGTTATAAACTATTTAAACTACAAACTATTTTTTATTTTACCAGGTAAGGCCCCACTGGACCTTCACAGGTCTTTTTCAGCAGTGACCTGGTCACAAATGATAGCTCAACGAAGTGGCTTATCATGTGGTAATTTATAGCAGCCAAATACTCTTAAACGCATCTTGATTCCGCATATGTGAGGGTTTGAGCTGGAGAAAAATCCACGCGACCACCACGGTGAGAGAGGGACACCGCAAACTCCAAATATACAGCAGGCGTCAGGGTCGGGGTCGAACCCGCGACCTCCCACACACCCGGCGAGGTAGTCAACATCTCGCCACTGTGGCGCCCCCCCCCCCCCCCCCCCCCCAACACCGTGGCTACACCACGCCATTTCGAAACAAAGCCAAGATGTGCGCATCTTCCCCACGTAGCAGTCAGCGAAGCGCTCACCCATCATGGGTGGCGGCTGCTGTTGCTGCTGCTGCTGCTGCTGCGACAGCGGGCGCCCCACCGCGCCGACCCTTGGCTTCATGGGATGGCCCACGGGGCCACACGCGGTGCTGGGACACGGGGCGGCGGCCGGGGATGACGGCATGCCGACCCCGCTCGCCACGCCGGCCACAGGCGACACCTGTGCCGCCCAGGAGCCGCCCTCCACCTCCGTCATGCTCGCTCGTCGCGCCGGCACCGCCATACCAGCTCCCGCCACCGCCACACCGCCGCCAGGCCCCGGCATGCCTCCCACCATGACCCCTGCGTGAGAGGCACGGTGAGGGGGGGGGGGGGTGACGGGGTTTAGCGGGGGGGGGGGGGTGGCCGTATCAACGGCACGCGCTGTGCCGCGCGCCACGGGTTCCGGTTACGCGGCCAATGATGCAAGCAGCCAGTGTATCGCGTTACGTTGCACCGCGGTCACCGTGCGGGCAAACGGATAGCACCCGACGCGTTTGTTTGTTTGTTTGTTTTTAAGGAGCGCGTGTTCTTTCTCTTCAGCACTCCCAGACAGTTGCGCCTAACCTGGGTCTCACGGAGGAGTGACAGCGTCTCATTGTGGAGTTTAAGTGAAGCCTCGGGGGTTTAGTGCAGGGAAGATGCACAAGGGGGACGAAGCATTACGAGCTCAGAGAACAATACAGAGCGCCTTATAAACGCTTCTGTATGGGAGGTGGCAGAAGGAAAGTTAATTTTCCCAGTGCATGTATTGGCAAATTAGGAGCCACAATCGTAATGAGCTCCGTCTCCGCAGCGCAAATTTTTTTTTTTTTACACTTGTGCCACAATGTATCCTACTGATCTCCCAACGGTAAACAAAAGTCTCCACACATTCGTATCCACGGTCCCACATCCGCGCCAAACATACTCAAGTGCGCGGGCAAGTTACCGTGACTGCCCGCGTTGCCCTTGCTGTTGGCCACGCCAGGCTGCCCCGGCTGGCAGGGCTGGCAGGCCTGGTTGGCGGACACCGAGCGTAGCCCGGGAGGGTAGGGGCTCGGTCCGCGCCGGCTCGGCGAGTAGACGCCGGGGCTGCATCGTGGTCCCACGGCCGCCGGGTCCATTGACACGGAGCGTGAGAAGGATGGCCGTGGCGCGGGGGAGCCGGGCATGGCGCCAAAATCTTACCAAGCAAAACAATCGCACGCGAACATGCGCACACGCAGTCCGTAAAGACATCTGCATGAGAAAGTTAAAATAAAAAGCGGCACCATTTACATACGCGCTCTGCTTTTAATGACGGCAGCCCCTCCCCTCCTACCGATGCATAATCCCCAACCAAACAAAATGCAATGTTGATTTGACTGCTGGCGCTGGGACCCCTCCCTTGGCATCGGCCTCACCTCTCGCACTCTAATGCAAGCGACAGTCTTTCCGGGTGTAAAACCTGGCAGCAGATTTCAACTCTCAAGCGCTCGCCACCGGGAACGTCAGGTCACATTAATTTAGAGGGAGTGTCCCTAAAGTAAAAGTTGTGGCCCTGTAACTTACTCGTCACTCGTGCCACTGCTGCCAGAAGGGCCTGTCAGAGAGGGAGGTATAGAGAGTCCCCTCTAGACGGTGTTTTAGCCGACTCTTCTATTCTGGCCAGATGCCTCGGATTGATTAGCTGTGGCATAACCATTCATTCTGTTGGATGGACAGAGGCGGTGGCAGGGGGGGGTGGGAGATCTAGTAGACTGTCCCATTTGTTACAACGGCCGCACTGGAAGATGTCCAGTATTGCAACCACAACATCCGCGGCAGCGTTCTAAGGCGACGACGACGCCGTGTCTCTACGCCAACAGGTGAGCACAACAAGAGCGCTTTTAGATTCTGCCGAACGTTTTAGTTTTCACTCCGCATGGAGGGCGACCCTCTCTCCCCCCCACCCGCCTTACCATTGGTGGGCGCGGACGGCTTGTTCTGTGCGCTGGTGGCGCCGTGGCCGCCCATCTGCGCCGGCTCAAACCCAGCCGTGGTCGAGGACAAGGGGGTGATGGGTGGCACTGGAGTTGTGGGCGTGGACGCAGTGGTGGCCGCCTGGGACCGACCCTCGGCCACGTCCCGAACAGCCGCGTCGGACGTCAGGCTCCGTAGGAAGCTGTCGAGGTTGTCAAAGTCGTTGGTGGAGTTCTGCAGGAGACAAGAATCTGTTTATCGCGCGAACTCAACATTTATTTTCTTTTCATCTGATGGCAGATGTTTGAAAAAATAAGGGGCGTTTTTTTTTAGCATTTTCCTTCCAAGTGTGTAAGTGTTATAAATTGAATCGTCCATTGCTCCCCCAATGGAACGATCCATTTTTTATTTATTTTACCAGGTAAGGCCCACTGAGCCTACACAGCTTTTTATTTAGAAGCGACTCGGTTATCACTCATGCTAGCTCAACGAAGTGGCTTAACGCATGTAAATGTACAGCGGCATGTAAATGTACCCCCAGTTCCTTCTTGGAGGATGCCGAGATTGACTTTTGCAATTGCGCTGGATATGTTTTTTTTCGGGTTTGTAACGCGTGTAGTTCGGCATGAGGTCCGGCGCTCCCGGCACGTGCTGAGAACCAGTGAACGTTATTCCCAACAACACGCTGGAGAACTCGAAAGCACATCGGAGGGTGACATTGGACTCTCGTTGAATGATAAACATCGTTAAAAAATAAAACGTTCATATTTAACCCACCGGCCCTAGCCCCCACAAAAAAATGCATCTCACGACGACGTGAACCGATAACCCTTTATTACTCATTCGCTATTCCCCACTAACCGAAGCTATCGCTCAATGTCACTCGTTTCGTGACCCACTGAGAGGTGAAAAAAGGAAACGCAACTCTTTCTTTCTCCGCGGGCTCCGTTTTGATGGTGCTGCTGCTGCTCACGGAGCACGCGTCGGCACCCACTGATCGCGAGCCGCTGCACCCTCCCGTGGGCGACTCCTCTACCTTCACCATCGCGCCCGCCGCTTGCTCCTCCTTCTGCACCTTGCCACCCTCCTCCTTGTCCAGCAGGTACCGCAGCAACACGTGGTCCTTGTCTCGCTTTTGGGGGCTGGCTTTCTCCTTCTTGATGCTCGGCATCCCATTCTCGCCGCCGCATTCTTTTTCGGACACCACCTCCTGCTTGATTTCGACCGGGCCCCCCGGCAGGGAGGAGGATGATGATGATGACGGCGCCGCCGATGGCGACGTGGACACATTTTCTGTCTTCCCTGCAGCGACCACCTCTCCAATGATTTTATCGGCGTCCAAAGTCGTCCCGCTCTCCTGCAGCAGCTTGTGCAGGATCTTGTGTTTCTCCGTCAGGGAGGTCATCCCCGATGAGCAGGACGCCGACGAGCTGGAATTTGTTGGCATCCCGTTCTCTCCGGCTTCCACCTTTATGGGCTCGCCCCTGCCCCCGTGCAATTGGTCCCTTCCTGACTGCTCAGAGCCGCCCCCACCACCACCTTCGCCAATCAGCAGCTGCAGCAGCTTCATGTTACCCTTGCCCTCGGCCGAAGTGCTCCCCGGTTCACTCGAGTCGCCGCTGCCAGCTGCGGGGCCATCCTTGCCCACGCAGCCACTGTTGCTGTTTTTGCTGCTGCCACCACCGCAACCACCGCCCACTTTCTGTCCGAGGGAATCTGCTTGCCCTGACTGGGCAGGAGCGTCCGATTGCCCAAGACACATGGTGGGCGCGCCACCTTCCACCTTTATGCTGCGCAACATAGCCTGCTGCGTCGGCGTGCTCATAGACGATGCCGGACCGACATTCCTCTGGCCGGGCGACGACATTTTGGCCATGCCGAAACCGCCGGGCTGGGCGTCCGCGGCCGCGCCGGGCTGAGCGGCACTGGCGCAGCCCCGACTTCCGGCGTTCATGGCTCCCAGCGGCGAGCGCATGTTCCCCATAGCCTGGGGCGAGCGCATGCCGCCTGTCGAGCCGGCGCTCACCGGAGAGAACGGCATCCGTGGGGCCTCGAACGAGCCCTGGGGGCTGCTGTGTGCGGGGTTGGCCGCGCCGGGACTGCACCTCTGCCTCGGCGACATCATCTGCGTCACCATCGTGCCGGGGCTGCTTCGGGCAGGGCTGCCACCCACGCTCACGTTAGTGCCGCCCTGGTTACCCATGACGCCGGTCATGCTGACCGCCCCTTCGCCGCCGTTCATTCCGCCAAAACGGTGGCCCACCGAGTTGGCTTGCGCTGATGATGTGCTCCTGCCCATCGTGGCATCGTTAGGCCCTCCAAACCTGCCCGGTGCACGCCAGAAGCCGGGCTGGCCTGTAGGATGGCCTGTGGGATTAGACGTACTGTAGCCTTGGCTGCTGACTGGTTGGTGGTGTTGTTGCTGCTGTTGCTGCTGGTGGTGGTGTTGCTGGTGATGTTGGTGCTGTTGCTGTTGTTGTTGGTGTTGCTGCTGTTGTTGGTGTTGCTGCTGTTGTTGGTGTTGCTGCTGTTGTTGGTGTTGCTGCTGTTGTTGGTGTTGCTGCTGTTGTTGGTGTTGCTGCTGTTGTTGGTGTTGCTGCTGTTGTTGGTGTTGCTGCTGCTGTTGATGATGTTGTTCCTGGCTGGACCCAACAGGTAACATCGGCTGTTGGCCTGGCAGGTGTTGGTGCTGGCTGCTATTGACCATGACGTTGCTGTTGTTTTGTTTCCCAGCTCCAACTGCCTGTGCCATTGCGTCTTGGCCAATTATCGACTTTTCTCTGAAATAGATCAAATACAATATATAAACAAACACATAAGAATTGTCAATTAATTTACGAAAATACATTTGCAACCAGCACTATCCCATGATGAACAAAGTTTATCAATATCTCAGGCGGTGCTGCAGCAAAGCGCTTGTTTAACAACTCGAAGGCTGTGCATTCAAATCTTGATTTCCGGAGTTGATTGAGCTCATCGTACCTCCAGGGTCAATACAACAACAGAAGCGAATGAGCCTGCTAAAAATCAGAAATACAGTTAACATTTTCCCCTTCTATCTCCCTATTTAACATGGCTAACGATGCATGCATTGACAAAAGCTGTTCACAGCCTCGACACCGCGGGCCGGATTAAACAAAGCTATGGGCCCAATCCGGCCAGCAGACTGCAGATTTCCGCAATTCCACTCGACAGCTTCCGTCTTTGCTGTGGCCGGGCATGGAAAGAGGACGCGGGGAGCGTGGAAGCCAAGCCGACCTGACAACGTTGTGGATGGACTGCACCATGTGCGGCTGCGTGGTGGCGTTGTTGCGGAAGAGCTTGCTCTTGGTCTGCGCGATCACCACGGTACCGTCCGCCAGCTGGAATCGGTACGGCGGACTCGTGGCCATGCCCTTCATCATCACTGCACACCCCGCACGTGCGCAGACACGCGTGTACACGCGCACGCACAAGCACACACGAGATCAGATCACGGTGTCATCGTGGCCATTGCCGTCGGCGCCACCACAATGCGCCGACGACACGTTCTAACTTGGGGCAGTTCCCAACGCCGATGCAGAGGAAACACACAAATAGCGTACGGGCACGACAGTTGTTAGAGTATACGTTGAGGGTCGATAAGCTCAATTATAAGTAATACAGCCAACTCCCCAATGTGTTTCAGGTAGCACAGCGTGAAAACACACCGCAAAGCCATACAGCGCAACCGCAAAAAACAACACGAAGGGCTTCCCGGATAATAAAACAATGAAAGACACGCTTACGTGAGGCTATAAACCGCATTTATTGCTTATACCTCTTTGGAATGAGGGCAAAGACGCAGAAAGGATGATTTTGTTTTGACTGTAATTAGTCACTTTACCTTCTGAAGTGCTTGCTGAGAGAATAAGCGAATAATTAAACCAGCGTGTATGTAAATATATCTTAGTTGGTTTAAGCACGGTTAATCTACAACCTGGATGATTAATTTGCCTACGATACTTGAGAGTTTACTGTGGTAATGATGTGCAACCCTGAGTTCTCCCAATGCCATGTTAGTCATGGGGGTTTGTTGACCATATATGTATGCGGAAAGAGATCGATACTGGATGCTTATTTTATAATAATAATAATAACAATAACACAGCTTAAAGGTCCGCGGTCTGAGCGTGGCTGTGTTTCACTCCAGCGCTGTCCTCGAGACAGCCTGATCCCTTCACCTGATGAAGGCCGCTTGTGTTGTGTGCCGAAACGTCGTGATTTTTGTTGTTCTATTTTTTACCTACGTGACTTTACCGAATAGAACCAAAGAGTATGATGACTTTACCAAACTGGTCAGTGTGTGTTGGGAAAGGTTAGGCCCAGGACTGGTTCAGATACGAGCTGTCGTTGCGGATCGAACTCGACTTCGCAAGTTCAATGCGCCGTGCGCCAACTACTCGGCCACAGCTCCACCCCAAGTCAAAGTCTAAAGTTTCTCCGTGCTCACATGAGTGATAGGGTGAGCTCACTTCCATTGGCTGCATGAGGCAGTGATAAAAATACCGCATTCTTAAAGTGGGGGGCCCCAGTGCCTCCATACGCCTGCGACTGTTGCCTACAAAATGACACGATTTTTACGGTGAACTTTAAACCTTCTGATTTGAATGGAGCACTTGCAAAGGCCAATTAAAATCACCGCAACGATAAATTACAAGAACATCTCCACCTTGTCATGTTCATTTTGTATTGGACGTCAAAAGCTACACTTTTGTGAAGTGACAGTTAAAACCCAAGCCGCAGAGCTTTCATCCCTGAATTTTAAATAAAAGAGAGAAATATATGTTATACTCTCCAGTATTATGAGGATAAATCATCAACCCTACACAAACTACACATGTGTATATAAATACAAGACAAAGATCTTCTGGATAGCCTGAACAAACTTTTTGGACAAGTGCTGTTAGCAAACACCTATGAATACCAGCATGGAATGGCCAGCACCATGTCCGGCCACCTTTGTCTCCCCAGTGACAGTGTGTTCATACCGCACCAGGTACTCATTTGAGGCTGAGTCGGCCGAGGGGAGGCTCAGAACCAGTTAATCATCGCTGGTGTTGGCAACCACGAGCAGGAATAAAATTCGGGTCACCGAGTTCATGGCACAGTGCAATACCCACTGCACTATTGCTACCCACTCTGTATATATACACACACATACATAGACAAGACTATTCCATTAGCCTGTCGCTGTGCAATGCCAGAGCAAGAGCGTCTTTGGCCTACATGTGGATGTGCGTACCTGCATCGTGTGAGCATGCGGACCGTGCATGCATCGATTCCGTATATGCGTGCGTACGTACCTTCCTGGTGGTGGCGGCGTGCGAGGGACATGTTGGCTTCAGCTGCCTGGTAGAACACCTTGATGGATCTCCGCACCAGGTCCTCCCAGCCCACGGTCATCGAGGCACGCAGGCTGCTCGTGTCGATTGCCACGATTTTTCCTGGACAATAACAAAGAATCCCCCCCCCCCCCCCCATAGAGCCTTTAATACATGGCTGGGACAAGTGCTGTTTGCAAGTTGCACCTTTGAAGGCCGGCACAACACACGAGGGGGGTGGGTGGGCCAGCACCACGCCCGGCCGCCTTTTTGTCCCCGAGTGGCGATGTTTACACGTCGCACCAGGTCCTCGTTTGAAGTGGAGCCAACCTCGGGGGGAGGGCCCAGGACTCATTCAGAAAGACTCAGAAAGACAAAGACGGTCACTGCAGCGTGCCGCTTTCAGATGCGCTTCTGCGGCCGTCTGGAACGCTCCATTAGGCACGCACTGGAGCTGTGCACTTTTAAAACGAGATTGAAAATGTATTTCTTTAGAACTGCTTTTTGTGTTTAGTTTGTTGTCCTTCCACCGCACCTCCAATTAGCACGGTTGGACAGGTATGGTGCGAAAAAAGTTCAATGTACATACATACGTCACCGATGTTAGCCTTGGGCGGGATTCAAACTCCGGCCCACAGGTTAATAAAGCAGCGCGCTAAGCACAGCACTCCAAAGGTGTCTGCAAATCACCCACTGTGAGCCTCCCTCAGCTGGCCAACAGAAATGTGGCATCGCAATCTTTTCGAACACGCATGAGGACAAGGCAATGATGACCAAAGCACCTTCAGCTGCATGCATTCCGATGACTTGACATTCATTAAAATGTGTTGCAAACAACTTGTTTCAACATCCCGTGTTCAATGATAATAATAAAAACATAACATGTAACCGTCATTAGCCAAGCATTGCAATGCAAAAAAAATGGTCCTGCAAATTACTTCATTAGAATTGCAAGTAGCAACATCGCCTGACCTCCACGCAGAAAAAAAGGTATCAGGACTGCAAATAGCATCCTGAGACTCTCCTCAGTAAAAAAAAGTGTAATAATAATAACATGAAAAAAAATTACGAACAATATCGCCTGCCTTTTTTTGACCGTGTTAAAGAGTTCTCACCTCATGCCATTTGCACAACAGCTTGGATGTAAAATCAGCACTTTCGTATGCCAGCAAGTGACCAAGAGGTTTTAAAATGTTGTTTGATCAACAAGAGTATATTTTGGTCAGCTGTGCGCATCCACACTGGATAATAAGTGCAGCCTCTACCCAGTACAAACAGTGCCACTTATGTGACTGAAGCCAACCAGAAATTTACCGAAATAATTACGTCATCAATAATACAAGATTATCGCTGTGGCGAGATGTTGACTCCCTCATCTGGTACACAGGAGGTCTTGGGTTCGATTTTAACCCTGACGCCTGCTGTATATTTGGAGTTTGCATGTCTCTCCCCGTGGTCGTGTGGATTTCTGAATCCTCCGGTTTTTCCCTCCACATTTAGAATGAACATTGCGCGTTGGAGAGTATTTGGCTGCTATAAATTTCCACGTAAGCCACATCGTTGAGCTGTCATTTGTGGCCAGGTCGCTTCTAAAACAACAGCAACATAGCTCGGTGGACCATACCTGGCAAAATAAGTATAGTTTAATAATACATTACACTAACTACGTTACACATTACTTGCGTGCGCATGTGAATTTACGTTTGTCCTGCTTGTTCTTATTCGCTCCATGCCTTACACCACGGGGTCCGTGTGCAGCGTGCAAAGCCCAAGCGCTCACGCCGCTGCAGCGCCCGCACGAAATGCTCGGCGCACACGTTCCGCGTTTTTTTACGCCTCCTCTCATTTGGCCATCAAACGTCGAGGCTACTTAATTTTACACCTCGTCGGGCTTTGCCGACTATGCTGCGATGCGTGCCCTTGCGCACAGGCGCGTGAGAACAAAAAAAACACACACACACAAAACTGGGCGAGCAGAGAGAAGACGTCTTTTGTTTTAGGGCATGGTGAGTGGGAAGGTGGGGGGGGGGGGGGTGGAGAGGTGTCACCTACCCGTGGGATCTTGCCGCGTGGAGAACGATTCCGACCTGGGCATAGGTCGAGCGACGCAGATGAGGCAGGACTGCAGGTCTGCGCGCACACAGTGGAGGAGGGGGGGGGGGGGGCACAAGCACGCGGCATGCGTTGACCTCCCGCCCGCTACCGACAGCGCCACAAAACCTTTGCTGTAGGCATGGTGAAGAATGTACCGAAAATTATCTTTTGTTCTCAGCAGACCGAGGAGGCGCGTGCCTGACGAAAGCGTTATTCAGCCAGGGGTATTTGTTAGTTCCCTTGCCCAGATCTCGAGAAAACCAATAGGCGGGTATGGATGTGCCAAGCGAGTGCTTGTACGAATGACCACAATGCATAAAAACAAACAGGTACTGCAAGCTGTTACGGAGCTAGAAAATGTCATTGTTGTATTTAATGTACTATGCTGCGAATAACCCTCATGACCCGTGCTGTGTCGGGAAGCCCTCATCCGGCAGTGAATTGACAGAAGAGATGTACATGTGCACCGTCACTTTTAAGTGCGATCGGCAAAACTATCGATGCACGTCTACCATCATGGATAGGTTGAGGTCAGGAGGTCATCATGAACAATGCTGTTGGTGCCACCACACCTAGCCATCACTTCCTTCCTTCCGCTGGTTCCCGTAGTTGTTGTCAAGTCAACCACCCGACCTTCAATGTCCACTCTTGCAGTATCCCACCATGCTGACTTTTTCTCAGGTTGTGGGATACTGTACGGTATTACTGTGATGTACGTGTACAGCCTTTTCGTCAACCCACTGCTGAATTAAGGCCTCCATACTTTGCGTAGGTCATAGGGGTTTATTTGAATATAGTTCAACAATACTGGTCAGTGCTGGTTGGAGAAGGCAAGGAGCATAGAAGTACAATACAACAATGGATTTTGCTGCACTGTCCTTTGCTGCCCGCAACCAGCCTCAAAGCCGATAACGCCTGTGATGCGCGGTGGCCACCTGTCCATCATCCCGATAGTGTCAACAGACGACAACCACTTTGTCGGAAGTGAACAGGGTTCAATCCCTACAGGCATAAAAATGAGTTCCGCGAAACTTTCTTTTTTACCATGGACTCAAGACGTGCAGCCAAAGGTAAACGGCTCATGCTAGAGGCTTAAATAGCCAATCGGCTTTGGCCACGGCAACTCCTTAGTAGACGAACCTTCTCCCTCCTCCTTGATGGCGCGTGGGTGCGTGACGGCAAAGCACTGCATGGTCTCGTATCTCTGCAGCTCCTCCTGGGCGGCCCCCGGTCCGCTGCCCCGAGCCGCCACCCCAGTGGACCCGGCTGCCCCGGCCACCCCGGCTGCCCCCGGAGCCCCGGCTGCTACGTCCGTCTCCCCCTCGGAGTCGTGGAGGGGCCGCACGAGCATGCGGCACGAGAAGGTGCAGCTGTTCCTCTGTGTGGTGTCGCTGGGCCACGGCACGCCATTCACTGCCGTGGAAAAAAACAATGAACGGGCGCGCACACGCACGCACGCGCACGCACGCGCACACGGACGCGCGCACTTGAGCCACGACTCCCCAACGAAGAAAGGACAACACTACAGGACTGCCCTCGCACGCCCGGCCACACACACCACCCCGCACCAGTGTTTTTATTGTAAATAGAAGACGGGTGAAGGGGCGAGGATAAGTTGACGGGCCCTGGTCTTGGCAAGCTGACTCGTAAATTTTGTGATGCGCGTTTTAACTCTGAAGGTGTTTATTACAATAGCGCTGGCATATACGATAGAAACTGTAAGCAGTTGTTGCAAGCCGTATGCCAAAGGACACCACTCGACTACGGTGGCAAGATGTTAACTGCCCCGTCCGATATGCAAGAGGATTCAATCCAGAGCCAGACGTCAGTTTGCGGTGTCTCTCCCCAAGGTCGCGTGGATTTTTATCCGGGTCGTTCAGTTTTTCCTTCCACATATAAAAACATGCGTTTAGAGTATCTGGCTGCGATAAATTTCCACGTGATAAGCCACTTCGTTGAGCTATGATTTTTGGCCAGGTCGCTTGTGGGCATTACCTGGTAAAATAAAAAAAATTGTTTATGGTTTAGTAGACTGGAGGCTGCACCCTGCTGAAAGCCGTAAACAGATCTGGCGTGTTAAGTCATGGCATCTTGTTTAACTTGCGCTGTGTGCCCAATTTACGCTAATTACCGTGTCACATCTTGCAAAATGCAACGCACACTCATGTGCTCATATTACAATTGTAATTATTGACGCGATAAACAACAAACGTGCCATTTCATCGCTGGCATCCATTACCCGGGGGTTCTGTGCAGATCCTCTGTAAATAAAATGAAACATGTATTTTAAGGAACAATGACATTTAATTGAAAGTGGTTAATAGAGGCCGACCGAAATTCGGTTTCGGCTTCGGCGCCGAAAGTTGGCAAATGGCCTCTTTCGGCATAGTTTCTGTTTCGGGCGAAGCCAAAAAGTTAACTTTCGGTTTCGGCCGAAAGTCAATTTTTAACTTTCGGTCTGGTTTTGTTTTCGGCCGAAATCAGAAATTCAATTTCGGTCGGCGTCTAGTGGTTAACCAGCTCTTTACCGCAACAGGTAATTAATTGGCTGGCTCACAGCACACGAGGAGGTGAGTGGCCAGTACCAGGTCTACGCAAGATGGCCGCCTGAGGCTCGCGCGCTCCCGGGAGCGGCTGGCGGGGGCCGTTTGTGAGGGGGCCGAGGGAGCCGAGGGGGCCGACGGAGCCGGAGGGGGGGACCGGCGGCACGAGCAGAGGGAGCCGACACTGACTGACTCGCACATCATGCACTGACTCGCTCACACATCATGCACTGACTCGCTCACACATCATGCACTGACTCGCTCACACATCATGCACTGACTCACTCACACCATGCACTGACTCACTCACATCATACACTGACTTTCTCATACATCATACACTGACTCACTCACACCATGCACTGACTCACTCACGCCATGCACTGACTCACTCACGCCATGCACTGACTCACTCACACCATGCACTGACTCACTCACACCATGCACTGACTCACTCACACCATGCACTGACTCACTCACACCATGCACTGACTCACTCACGCCATGCACTGACTCACTTACGCCATGCACTGACTCACTCACGCCATGCACTGACTCACTCACACATCATACACTGACTTGCTCATCATGCGCTTACTCACTCACACATCATACATTCGCACAACCACTGACCCATTCACTCATCATACACATGTTCACTCATCGTGTGCTGGCTCAGTCGCACATCATACACTCACTCACACTGCCGCTGACTCGCTCACACATCATACACTGACTCGCTCATCATGCGCTGACTAACACATCGTGCGCTGACTCACACATCATACAATCACTCAACCTAATACTGACTCGCACATCATACGCCGACTCGCACATCATACGCTGACTCGCACATCATACACTCACTCGCGCTGCTGACTCACTCACACATCATACACTGGGAGTGTCGTGCTGCCAGCTATGGCTGCAGGTTTTGTCGTACGTGTTATGTATATCGTTTATTGTTAAATTTAAAATCACAGTTCCTATGATTACTGTTGTTACATTGTTTTTGTAACTTTATTTTGGTCTGGTTGTGGTGTAATAGTTTTCTGCAATGCAGATTCATATTTTGTTTGTTGCGGTTGCACCCGACTTAAGAGCCGCATGGCTCACAGGGCTATACCTAATACATGAAACTTGAACTTGAATGATGCAACGGCAGCCAAGAAATGTCTCCTGTCTGAGAGAACGACGACCAAGGAAATGGAGCGATGAAATCAGTTCGTTTGTAGATGCTGCGTGGATTATTACACTGGAGAATCGTGAGAGGTAGTGGTGGCTTTGGGAGGCCAGTGGATTGGCCACGGCCGATGATAATGATGATGATATAAAGCATCGTCAAACTGGTAGATCCAAGTAAAGTGAGAGAATAGACATATGCAGTCTGTACATTACCACATTTAATTTAATTCACAGCAGCGTTCCCTCTAGGGATGCTCCCAGGCAGACACTTTTCTAATCCCTAGTGCTTGCCAACAATAACGATCGATCTGCTTTAGCCAGGAGAGTTGTGACCTCCTCCTTGGGCTCCTCCACCGAGGTTTAATCCTTCTCAAAATAATCCTGCGTGAGAGATCAATCGAAAGGAAATAGGCCACATGCCCAAAGCGCTGCAACTGGTGCAACCCAGATGAAAACCAAATCGCTGGTTTGACACACAGTGGCTCCGGTGGACACGCCATGATCCTCTGGAGACACTTGGTAATGATGGGAGTTCAGCTTCCTCGTCAGGGCAGCATTGAATGGATTTCCAAGAATTACTCACGATGAAACACAGGCACCGTGAAGATACATAGCCGAGTCTTTCTGCATAGACGCGTAGAGCACCTGACGATTGACTGAGCGAGTCCATTGTACCAAAGGCCAGAAAAAGATGCAAAATGACCTCCAAGTCAGACTCACTATTACCAAGGATGATGCTAGAAGGCAAGTAACCCTACTGAAGGTCTCAAGAACAACAGCCGCCATTCGCCACTAAGTGGCGGTGCTTGTGCCAGGCTTGGTGCACTCTGAGGCCACACGTGTGTTGAGGAGTGGTATAGTGCAGCGATTAGCGCGCCGCGCTATGAACCCAGCAACCCGAGTTCAATTCCCATTCACAGCCAACACCAGAGATGGTTATCTGAACCGGTCATGGGTCTCCCCCTAGGTTGACTCAGCCTCAAATCAGTACCTGGTGTGGGTGTGTAAACATCATCGCCACTAGGGAGACAAAGGCGGCTGGGCGTGGTGCTGGCCACTCACCTCCTCGTGTGCTGTGAGCCAGCCTTCTTAGGTGCTCACTAACAGCACTTTCCACAATAGTCTGTTAAGGCTACACAGGGGATCTTTATCTTTTTGTGTGTTGAAGACCTCAACACACATACAAAAAGAGTGGACAGCATCACTGAGTACGTCTCTGAATGCCTGGATTAGGCCTTAAGTCCAGAAGACCTTCAATTCCAGTTGACTTGCCTCCTTTTTAAGAACCTCAAGGGACAAGCGGCAGGCTCATGGAAGGACTCCACAAAAAAAAACATCGTATCGTCGGCAAAAAATGCTCTACATCTCTTTTAAATTTTAAATCGGACTCCATCACACACTGAGAGCAGGAGAGTGACGAAATAATTAAAGTAAAAATCTCAATCTTTTTACAAAGTTCAAGTAATTACAAGTAAAACTGTGTGTCATCAAAGCATTTATCTGAACCTTTGCTCAAAATCATGGCAATGCCAATTAGCGGTACGCCGAAGCAAACGTATTCACACTCAGAAGCGTAATCAGCTGACGAACAAGTAGACAGGCAGGGAGAAGAGTAGCAGAACTAATGCGATTAAAACATTCCAATGCAAGTCTATCTTGTGATAATTAAATTTTCATGCCTGTGGTAAGGTGTCAAGGCAAAACATGTGACAAAATGAGCAGGCAGACAAGCGTGCCGTGCACACATACCCACAAGCTATCCGAGCTCCAGGCACGAGGCCAAATTGTCACCATGCCTTGGGGGCTCCATCCTACCGACGAGCCACTTACCATCCGCAGAACATTAACCGCCTTCTGAATTACGCCGTCTACGAGACTTTCTATAATATTTACAAAAAAAGTGTTTTCCACGTTTAACCCGCTCGCTGAGACAACGTTCCACTTTGTCTGTGCGAACCACATTGTTTGCTCCGCGGTGGTGAAAAAAACATCACATCGGGATGCCTGTGGGGGCAGGGACCCTGAGCGGGAGCGGTCGCGTGCCAGAGACGCCGCACTGCCCAAGTCGACCCCTGGCCAGGAGTGCCGTGCGGTAGACACGGCGCGCTTGGGGTGTGTAAACAGCGGAAGGCAACGCCACCCTCACGCAAAGAGCGAGAAACAGTGGCACGTGAAAAATATGAGGGTTTGCATCTCCTGAGCCATTGGAGGAAAGGTGTCTAAAAGCGAAGCAACTTTGGAGGCCTTCACATGCAGTATGCCAGCCAGTGCTGTGAATATGTTTCAGAAAGTCAAAAAGCAAAGTGTTTCCATGCTCAAATGAGCATCGGAGTGGTGGAAATTACACATTCCTATATCCGTTGGGACTATAGGAATATGTATTTCGACATCGCAAGAATGTAAAGGAAGAAGGGGACATGTCTAAATCTGGCAGTGGAAAGACAATGACTGCTGATGATGTGGCAGGGCCCAACTTTCACCCCATGTCAAGACACAGTTTTGACTTTCCATGAAGCAGTATTCATTTTATCAACCATGGAGGGGTGATGTCCGAGGCGATCCCTTGTCGGGATTTAAACTTATCAGGGATTTGAACATATCACGTTCTGTGCTGCAGCACCGCCCGACCGAATCGTATGCAGAGTGAAGCGCGTGAGATCTCAAACGCCGACATGTGACAGACGCAAATGACAAAGGATTGGAAATACCGACATGAAAGACACAACCATAACCCTAAAACGAGAGGGGGGGGCGGTGGGGGGGTGATCGACCTGCACTCTCACATTCAACCGTCCCATCCCACATCTCACCGAGCGATTTGGGCAGGAGGTTGCGAATGAAGTTGGCGTGGTCGCCTACGTGCAGGATGTTGTAGACGCTCTTGTTCATCAGCTCATCCTGGTTGTACTTCAGGTAGTTCTTCACGTTCTCGGACACGAACACGATGTTTCCCTCGCGGTTGACAACGAAGAAGAAGCCGTCCAGCGCCTGCACACAAATGCACACCAGGTGCGGTCATTCACAGAGAGGCGTACGAAGATCTCCCCATGTAGCCTTAACAGACTGTTGGGGACAAGTGCTGTCAGCGAGTAGCATCACCTATGAAGGCCGGCAGGTCACATGAGGGGATAGGGTGGCCAGGAACCACACCTCTGTCTCCCAAGTGGCGATGTTTACATATTGCACCGGGTACTCGATTGAGACTGAGTCGGCCTAGGGGAGGCCCAGAACCAGTTCAAATATTCATGACTGATGCTGGCCATGAGCGGGAATCCAACTCGGTACGCTGGGTTCGTAGCGCAGTGCGCTAACCGCCGCACTACACACACACACACCACAACTCTTAGCCGTCACGTTCTTTCATCTAAACGCATCGTCGATGAGACATCACCGACATGAAACTAGCTCAAGAGCTATGAGGGGTCAGGTACCTCGAGCAGCAGCGGGCCCAGAGAGTCCTTGTCGATGAGGGTCTGCCTGCTGGACGAAACGTCTGACTGCTGGATCTCAGGGGTGCGAGCCGTCGCCTTCTCTGCTCCAGCAACGAGCGCGAGGATAGCGGAACGCACACAATGCATGGAGATACACACAGACACAGACGCATACGCATACACGCGGCACACACACACGCAAACAGCACAGGCGCAAACGCACACACGCATACAATCATGTTAGCATGTGTGCACACACATGCGCACGGGCAAGAATGAGCTCCGAATGCAGTCAAAGTGACCGGTGGTATTCGGGAACAATGGGAGACAATACAGTGAAGATGAGAACTTGGTGCTTGGCTCAGACATGGTGGGCACAGTTCTGGGAATATTTGTAAATGATTAGGACCCAAGCACAGGTTCAGCTCAGAAAGCTGGAAGACTTTGCTCGAACAAAGAAAGTGGTAAAAACCTGTGCATGTATATACAGGGTGCTTAAAAAAAATGGGAACACTTTTGAGAATTTGCAACAATACCACAAGAAATGTGCCGCTGCCTCCGGGCTCTGGAGACCACCTGGAGAAGATTCCAGGCCACGTGTTGACAACGATGGCGAACAAGTGGGAGACTCTTTGACTTTTTGAAGCCATTAACATGACATTTGTTCTCATTTTGATGTAAAGCGTTCGTGACTGCAGAGATTCATATTCTTGGTTCTTTCGGTAAAGTCACGTAGAAGGGAAGCAATAAAATAATAAAAATATAAAACAATAAAATTCTCACCACGTTTCGACTGCAACACAAGCAGTCTATTATCTGTTCTTTTTCCATTAAAAACGATAGTCCCATGAAAAGTGAACATTTTTTTTAAGCGCCCTGTATAGGCAGTACATAATGTCACCACGCGCCGAGGACTACGTTGCATGAAAAATGCACATCGCTTTGTCAGTCCACTCAAGGACGAAGACCTCCACACTCCTTGTCCACTACAGGGGTTGTTTGAACATACTTCACCATGCTGGTCACTGCGACCTGGTAAAAAGGACTGGTTCAGATACCCGTTGCCGTTGATGTTAAGCATGGGAGTGAACCGAACTCAGGTCACCGAGTTCAGAATGCATTACGAGTTCAGAATGCATTACGCTAACCACTGTGTGCCACTGCTGCACCCCTGAGTGCTGTATAGTGTTCAGTCATGGGGCATAACTATTACACATCTATGAATGCATGTGTACACGCCTGATCCATTACATATTGATGGAGGAGTTTAATAGGCACGATCAAACAACAGAAAAATACAATCGGGAATATATTTCTGGGCGGACACCGGGAGGGTAGGGGCAGTGGATTTGAGAAACTTGCACCACTGTTTTAACTGCTGCACCAGGAGTGCTCTTCCCATTAGACTCACAGCAGCATCCAAATAAACACCACGTTGTCAGCTGCTCTAAATAAATTCACTCGTACGAGTTCTAACGCGCACACGTGCAAAACATGAACCGCTGCTGCTGGGACACAACCCACCCACGCGGACGAGCCATCCCCAGCCGGAGCTCAACCACTCTGCTGCGCCCATATGTCCCGGCAGCTGGCTCTCTTAGCCCGCGACTCCATTTTACACAAAGTTGACTGCGCATGCTTTGCTCCTCACGTGCGACATATGCTGACGGAACGTGCGCGAGTCCAAATTACAAATTGGATTGCCCCCTCCCGCGCCTGCACGACCACACTAGCCTCCCCACGCTCACCGCCGCCCACTTTCACCACACGAAAAGAATAAAACCCTTCACCGTTACGGACAGTGTGAAGATTCTAGAGCCTCGGACGCCCATCCCAAACGCTGCGACACGGCAAGCCACAAACACTGGCGCCGCCGCCGTTAAGAGATCTCAACTCACAACACCGCCGTGCAGCAAATGAGCAGCTGCATTGCTGCACAGAACCCTTCTTCATAACACAATCAACAATTCTGCCGCGTATACCCCCCCCGCCCTCCGCGCACAAATATCCTTAATTAACGAATGTGGAGCACGCGGGAGGGCGTAACGCTGTGACTCGACTACCACCGCGTAGTAATGTGTAGCTCTTCCCTCGTAAGTGGGCCCCCCTCCATAGGGGTCAATAGTGGAGCAGGACAGCGGTTGGGGGGGGGGTCACGTGCTCTGTTTATGCACAAACACACTACGGGGCATCGCAAACAGTGGCGTTGGACATGCTCCGCCCCCGCGGCATGCGGACCTGTTCCCTATCTGCGACAGTGAAAGCTGCTGAGGCCAAGCAAGTGTCGCCCTCCGCCCGCCAACTGCGGCCAACGTTCAATTATGTTCGGCCTCGTCGTAGAGGTCTCAATTCGAAAAGGATCGGCCTTTTTTTGTGGGTCGTACATCTTGGGCACTTGTTTGTTCGTCCAAGGTCAGTGAGAAGTGTGCGTGCCTTGATGCTCATGGGGCGGTGTTTATAACCTCTGTGATCGACGCGGTCCACCCCCTGTCCAAGTGCAGGGTCAAGACCCCTCGTTTTTTTCCCTCTGCCGATGACCGACTGCAAACTTCTCTCCATAAAATATATATGCCCGCCGTTTCTGTGCAATGTCCTAGGATGCGGTTGCATTCGGGTGCAATGTAAATCAAAACTTTCATATCCACAGTGCAAAACCGCCGTTGCTTCGCAACAAAGTGGTCCTCTCCTCATTTTATGGAGCCCTCCCAAACCCAAAATAATGAGGGATGATGCCGATGACTGGACAAATGCTTGTGTGGGCACAGCCAAGCTTGCAACCCATTCGGTGAGAGCATTCGAGCCGCTACTCTTCTTGCAGTGTCCTACATAGCGAGTGATGCCTTTCACTTGCCAAGATGTTAACTCCCTCACCTGGTATCCAGGAGGTGATGGGTTTCATCCCGACCCTGGCACCCTGCTGTGTATTTGGAGTTTCTACGTCTCTCTCCCCACGGTCGCGTGGATTTTTCTCCGGGTCCTCCTTCCAGCGTTTCCGTCCACATTTAGAATCAACATGCGTTGAGTATTTGGCTGCTATACATTTCCACGTGATAAGCCACTTCGTTAACCTATCATATGTGGCGAGGTCGCTTGACAAAGAGCTCAATAGTTCAGTGGGCCTTACCTGGAAAAAAATGGTAGTAGTAGTAGTATGGTTAATCGATGGCCATGATCAACTGTACCCCACCGCCAAATCCTGACCAGTCCCATGTAGCATCGGGGTGCTATTGCGCAATGTGGCTGAATGTACTCTGCTGTGCAACGCAAACGAAAAAAATCTAGCGTTGTTAAAATGTTGGCAGTGCCGAGGGTGTAGAGTGCAAAAATTCCCCGCCCCCACTACCCCCCCCCCCCCCCCAGTTAACTTCCTGAGCATGCGTTACATTTCATCATTTCTTTTTGCTGGTTTTTAGAGCCATCATTTGGGGATACTAAATGAGTCAATAAAATATGCCTGTCCACATGCAGAGGGCCCTTCCCATTACCAGGTTACAATAACATTATTATATTTCCAGGACAAACTTAAAAAAAAATTCCAGCTTTACAAATAACTTTGCTGAAATACAATAGAATTTGCCTTCTCAACATGAGTCTTAAATGCGAAGAAGAATGGAAAAGAATCCGCTCCCAGTCTTGTTATTGGGATTGTGCATTTACGTAATAAAGGAGTGAAACTCCCAACTATTCGCAAATTCGAGGCGCCCCTGCAGTTCGTGGGAACTTCAGCAATCCGCAAGCATTTGTACATTTTTGGGTTTTTGGAGGCAGTTGCGACATCTGCACATTTTTTGCCGATTTTTTGAGTTGTGACTAATTCCTGCTAAAAATTTACAGCACATCGCAACGGAGATATTTTTTTTGTTAATGCAAAGAGAAGCATCGAGACACGTGGAGCTTCAGAGGCAAACGGCGATGCAACGAGACAAAAGGGAGTGTGCTTTAAAGTGTGCGGCGTGAACTTGCCTGCTACAAAAATGTTTTTTTTTCATGTAACCATCACCAAATGTTTTGCAAATTGTTGGGAATATTTAGTCATGCATGGTGCAGACTCCTACAATGTGCACATCGTTGCAGTCTTGGGGCTATACGTTTTTAAAGTCAGCAAAATCCACAAGTTTTCAGTGTGGATTTTAAAAATATAATTCGCGCTGTGTCGTGCATTATAAAATCCGTGAAAAAACCAATCCCCCATATCACCGTGGATTTCTGGAATTTCACTGTACTGTCTTGCTGCTGTTTGTGGCTACGTGTTAAGACATTTACTACATACACTGGCAACGGCTGCTTCTGGAATCAGAAAGAACCACGGCAGTATTCGCCGCTATTTCCCCCCCCCCCCGGCTGGTCACGTGGATGTGGCCCCGCCACGACACGTAGGCAGATGTGAAATATAACAGGCGAAAGGTGCCATTGTAACACAATAACTACCAAACAACATGTGGAGACGTAACACAATGCGTACAGTATGCAAAAAAACCACAATCACCCCGACTTGTGTTTCTAAGGGCATGAAGCCCTTAGCCGTTTTCCTACAAACTAAAATCTCTCGCAAACAAGGGTCCCTGTTTAAGCGTGCACGACGCTCGGGGTGAAATTAAATACTTTCCCCAATTAAAAAAAAAGTTCCACTTTCAAGGAAGTCGGTGTTAAATTTTGGCCATCAGGACACGTCTTTGTATGTGAGTGCTGCCACATGTTGTATTCTGCAGCCACAAAACCCCATGGGACCTGCCTGCTCACGCCTTCCTACTCTAAGCCAGTGGCACGCCCATTCAGCAATCAACATCCTATACCGGGACAGTCCCACTTCATGTAAAATTCCTCTCCCCTCTCTCTACACCCCTCCGTAACTTCCCTCTCACTACTCCCATATACTCACAGCTCTCCTTTCTCCACTCAATCTACTCCTCTCGATGCACTCATACTACTGCTCCCGTCTCATCTCACTTCACTCCATGTGGTACACTCTCTGATCCAGCAACCATGGCTTCCTATTGGAAGTGTTCAGTCAGTAAACCTTCACTCAGTACGGGGTCGTTCAGCCTCCTCTGCTAACCCCATAGTCTGGAACTTCTTTCCCACAGCCATGTGTGCGTGCTGT